TGAGGGAGATCCCACCCTCCTGTGCCCCTCTCACCGCCCAGGCCATCCAGGAGGGACTGAGGAAAGAGCCTGGCCGCCGTGCATCTGCAGTGGAGCTGGGGGGAAAAGTCAGCCTGGCGCTGCAGCATGGTAAGAGCCCCCGACTGGCTGTAGGGGCACGGGACCCCACAGGGTAGTGCTGTGGTCAAGGGCAAGGACCTCTCAACCTCTCAGAGCCTTGGTGTCCCCATCTAGAGCATAGAGATGACACCCGCCTTGGGCTTGTTAGAAGATGGTAGTGTGAGTAGAAGTGCTTTGTACTGTGCCTCGCTGCTCAATAGATGGGGGACAGGGACTACAACATACAAAGGGGGCCTCAAGCCCATTAGTCATCAGTGAATGTGAAATAAAGCCAGGTACCACTTTCCAGCCATTAAGTGAGAAAAGGCAGAAAGTTCGTAGCACCAAGTGGTGGTGAGGAGATGGGGCAGTAGCCTTTAGGCTCTGCTGGGGGGCATCTGGTAGCACAGACATCTGCAGACCTGTGACCTCGCACTCCATACCCGGCACGCCAAAGAGGTTCTCACCAGATCCTTAAGGGGACATGCTGAGGATGCATGCTGCTGAGTCATTTATGGGAGGGGAGTAGGGTGTGATGGCGTGTCCCTTCCTGGGAGAGCGGAGGGGCCAAAGGCAAGGGTGGTAGGCAGGGTGTGTCACAGGGAACGCCACGCAGCAATTAAAGCAAGTCAGTGTTCATAGAACAACCGGCTGTATTTTAAAACCATAGTGCCAGGTAAAAAAGAGGATGGATAGAAAACACGATGCCTTTTTTGTAAATTTTAAAAAAAAGTTAAGAGTTTAAGATTTTATTCATTTGAGAGTGAGAGTGTAAGAGGGAGAGAACACGAGTAGGGAGAGGAGCAGAGGGAGAAGTCAAGCTCCCCTGCTCAGCGGGGAGCCTGGCTTCAGGCTCCATCCCCAGACTCTGGGACCATGACCTGAGCCAAAGGCTGACACTTAACTGAGTGAGCTACCCAGGCGCCCAGCAAATTCAATATTGATCAGTAAAAACAACACAGACTTTGCTAAGAGCATGATTGAACCCAAAGTGACACATCAAACATAATAGATTGTCACCAGGAGGTGGGCATGGGAATGGCTTTGGTTATGGGAATGAAAGGGGAATAAATAAAACAGGAGAGAGACCTTGCATGCCCTCCTGCCCCCCCACCCCCCACAAACATAGATAAACCTGTTACCACACTCCAGAGAAATGGCGCCCTTAGGAAGCACCAGCTGCAGAGAGGGAGGGGAAGAGAGATGGCAGTGGGGGGGGGGGGGGCAAGGAGGCCAGTTTACATGGGACCTTGAAGCTGGTGTTACTCAGAGCTGTTTTTAAATCTTCTCTTTATTAGTGACAGAGTCCTTCCTTGGAGCCATTTCTGTCCTTTTTAAAGTTGTGATTATGACCTAGAAGGAAGATGGCATAGACAGAAATACTGTCCTATTCCCATCGTAGAAGGCCATCTTAGGGAAGAAGCCTCCTCCAAGACCACACGCTGCCCTCCTGAATTGTGTCCCTGAGTGAGACAAGAGTCCTCCCTCACTGCCTGCCTCCAGCCCTGTGCTCAGGAAGGCCGCCCAGCCTGGCCCAGCATCTGGGCTGGCCTGTCTCTGCCTCACCACTTGTGCTGTTTTACAGTGGGGGGCCTGAGGAGTCCTTGGAGGGGAGAGTACAAAGAGCCAAGACGTCCGCTGCCACACCAAGTCCAGGCCCTGCCCAGCCAAGGCCACTGTCACCGGACCCTGCAGGCCCAGCCGAGGGAGCTCTCACCTGAGGCTCCAGGGCCCCAGCCAACTGAGGACACTACGGGAGGGGCCCCTCAGCTCCAACCTCCACTGCCCCCAGAGCCCCCAGAGCGGAACAAGTGTCCGAGCCTGACTTGGGGCAAGGAGGAGTCTGAGACCTGGGAGCCGTTGCCTCTGTCCTCCCTGGACCCGACCCCTGCCAAAAACCCCAGCTCAGCTGAGCGGAAGGCGACACTCCCTGAGCAGGAACTGCAGCAGCTGGAAATAGGTATGGCAGCCTTGGCCACGGCCCCGGGGCCTGTGCTCCCCTCCCTCTGCAGCCAGCATGGGCGCCTTCCCCCAGAGGTCCACTCCTGCGGTCCGGGTGGCCGGACACACAGACGGGCCGGGCCGTTCCCAGTCTCTCACAGCCATCCTCTGCCTCTCCCTGCAGAATTATTTCTGAACAGCCTGTCCCAGCCATTTTCACTGGAGGAGCAGGAGCAAATTCTCTCGTGCCTGAGCATCGACAGCCTGTCTCTATCAGACGACAGCGAGAAGGTAAGCGGGCCGTGGACCCAGAGCCACAGCCCAGAACTATGTGTCCTGCTGGTAAAGGGAGGCTGAAGGGAGTCACTCCTTCCTTGTGGAAAGGCTCCCCACCAGGGCAGGGGGGGGCATGGTTTCTCAGAGTGAGATAATCTGTCTTCCACACACCTGGGAATGGAGGAATGGTTTGGCTGCTAGGGATAATGGGAAGAAGATTTGGACTTGGGTCCCCCTAGAAATATTCCTCACCCTCCTCCAGCCCAGGAGCCCCTCATGACCTCAGCCCCCTGCTTTGTCCCCAAAGTGCCCAGTAGGGCCACACTCCAGCCCAGGATGTAAGCAGTCCCTCACCCTGGAGGAGGGCCCAGAGCCCCTGTGCCCCAAATCCAACCAAGGCCAGGGACGGCCCCCCAAGCCCGGGGGCCTGAGTTGTATCTACTCTTGTTTCAGAACCCGTCGAAGGCCTCTCAGAGCTCACGGGACACCCTGAGTTCCGGCGTGCACTCATGGAGCAGCCAGGCAGAGGCTCGCAGCTCCAGCTGGGACATGGTGCTGGCCCGGGGGCGGCCCACTGACACTCCGAGCTATTTCAATGGTACAGCCCAACCCTTGCCTGCTCAGCAGCCCCCGCGGTACCTGATTTGCCTGGATTTAGGGAGCTGGGAGGTAGGGGAGAAGGCACCTGGTGCCATGACTGGCCATGAAGTCAGTTTAGAGCAAAGGCCCTGATTGCCCAAGAGCCTTTCCTGGTGGGGCAGTGAAGGACCATTGCCCCTCATGGGCTGCCGGTGGGGAGTTCCAGAAGGCTCGTTGCTTGGGGCACAAAGCAGCCTCTCCTGGCCTAGAGTCAAGAAATAATGTCTCGAAGGGAAAAGGAGGAATAAGACCTCATGAGCATTTTCATCAAGAACTCAGCAGCAAGTTTGCTGGGGTCCTCCCCTGGGATTTAAAGTCATAAGATGTTTTTAAGTGTGGCTGCACAGGTTACGTGGTGAATTTTGACAGGCCTCTTCCCAGTGTGACACAACACACGGATCAAGCCCCCACGGCCTGGCCAACGGCCACCCCAGCTCAGACAACATTACTTGTGGGCCTGAGTTGCCCACAGGCTAATTTCGGAGTCTCTGTTCCCACTTCCGTTCTGCTTTGTGTGCAGGTTGAAATACTAGTTCCCCTTCAGAGCCAGGCTTAGCTCTTTGCATCGTGCAAGCCAAATTCTAGGTGTTGATAGAAGACTACCAGGAAGAGCCAGCACGTGTATAGCATTTGGGCTGCTCCAGCCTAAATGTCAGTCAGCTTCCTCAGAGCCATGCTGCGTCCCTCTGCATGGGGCTCCTTAGGGAGCCTCCAGCCACTCTCCTGATGGGTCCCGCTGCCTGCCTTCTAGGTGTGAAAATCCAGATACAGTCTCTCAATGGCGAACATCTGCACATCCGAGAGTTTCACCGGGTCAAGGTGGGGGACATCGCGACTGGCATCAGCAGCCAGGTAAGGGGGCAGGTATACACCTAGAGGCAGAGTCCCGGCAGTCAGTGTACCTGGCCCAGCCCTCCAGGAGGAAGGCTTTTGAATAAATAGAACTGGTACAGGAGGGAATGGTTGGCTTCAGAGATCCCCCAAGGTCCCAGGGTGAGCCTGACAGTGGCAGTTGAGGAGTCCTCAGGACCTACCCTCGGGCCAGGTGAGACTCTCTGAGTCCTCCAGGACTAAAGGCGAGAGTATGCCTTCAGGACTGCCTGTTTGGCTGGAGGGAGACTGCCCCGCCTCAGGAGACCCCAGTTTTGCCCTTCTAGGCAGCCTCTGAGCCCCATGCCACGATCTCAGGCCTGCTGGTTTGCTCTGCCCCCAGATCCCAGCTGCAGCCTTCAGCTTGGTGACCAAGGATGGGCAGCCCGTGCGGTATGACATGGAGGTGCCAGACTCAGGCATCGACCTGCAGTGCACCCTGGCCCCTGATGGCAGCTTTGCCTGGAGCTGGAGGGTCAAGCATGGCCAGCTGGAGAATAGGCCCTAACCCAGCCTTCCACCACTGGCTCCACTCTTCTAGAAGCAGCCTGCCTTCTCGGTGCTCAGTGCTGACCCTGACACACAGGCTCAGCCTGCTCCTGGGGATCTGCCAACCCTGGCTCAGCGGTGGGCCTAGGGACAAGCAGAATGCCTCCCAGGATCTCCTGTGACCTGCCAGACCCTGCCAGGAGAACACCTCGTGCCCACATGAGGAGGAGGAGGGAGGCAGGAGGCCTCCTCCCGTGGGGAACAAAGAGGGTCTTCTCTGCCCCGGTCTAGACAACAAGCTGACCTGATGTGTTTGGATCAGTGACCACTTGCTGGCCATCAGGGTAGAGTAGCTTCCGGCCTATGTCAAGGAGGGGTGAGCAAGTCCCTTGGCTTCGGAGCAGGTGGGAGAGTGTCAAGTGCCTGAGGATGCATACTCAGGTCCAGTACAGGAGTGAGGCAGCAAGCGTACCCACCCTTGGGCTAAAGGGGAGCCCTCTGACCCTCTTGTGGCCATCGAAGTCTCTTTTTAGATCTAGAAACTCTTCTGACAGAGTCAGGGAAGGAGCCACGCCTGATGCTGGGAAGTCTCCCTGGGAGACGACAATGGCACACCGTCAGGGTGTAGCAACATGGGTCCAGAGCCGAACTCAGCTTCTGCCCAGGACCACAGATGTCTAAGTGAAATGGTTCTCAGTCCCCAAGCACATGTCCCTTTGCTGCTGGCCACCAGTCTTCCCCAGGGCAGCAGGCCTCCAGCCCTGGCTGCAGACCCGGCCCTGCGCATCACTCACTGGCACTCAGCCACCTCATCTGTAGAAGTGAAGAGTGGTAGGTGCCCTGGCCGACGGGAGCAGTCTGAGGATGGGGTGTGATCTCATCCATGTGGAAGAAAGTAGCAGGTGTGAGCGCTACTCTTCCCTCCGGCCACGGCTTTAGACATCGTGCACACCAGCTTCCTGAGACACAGCCCAGGCCTTACACTCACACTGGCCCTGCCCTTCCCCTCTCTCAGGGGCAATGCCAACTGCACTTTGCACTCTGATGACCTCAAAGCACTTTCATGGCTGCCCTCAAAGAGGGCAGGTCAGTGGTTCTGCATGCGCAAAAGCAGGCCAGGAGATGGGTTGAAGGGATTCGAGTCTTGACCTGTCTCCATGCGCATGACCCCTCAAACCTCTGGATTTCTTTAAGATGAGCCCCCCCACCACCACCACCACCTACCCCATTTCCCCAACCCAGTCTCTTCTTCAGTGGGCAGGGGGGCTGATCAGGACTCATGTAGCATTAATCAACTGTGAATCCTTGTGTGAGGGCCTGCTAGCCTCCGCTCCTGGAGGTAAGGGGTGTCCCCTGGGAGTCCTCCTTGGGAAGAGCTCATCCCCGTGTCTTGCCAAGGTGGCCTCTGTCCAGCTATCCACATCGAGCCATTCTGCTCCCCAGGGAGAGACCCCGGCCCCCAGCACATAAAGAGCTGCAGCCTTGGTACTGCAGAGTTCGGGTGGTACTCTTTGTAAGCAATAAAGTTTGGGGTGATGACAAATGTGTTAGGGCATGGCTGTCCCCACTCTTGCCTACCTCAGATCCTAACAGCTGCCTCCCTGCGCCTTCTTGGTGGGATCTGGTCAAGGCTGCCCGTTATTTTTGGCAAGAACTGTTTGTAGCCCTTGAGTGAGGTTACTTTTCCCACCATCCCTCCCAGTGAGAGCTTCCAGTCCTATATTTGCCCTATCCATTCAAACCAGTTAGGCAAGATGCTCCAGCCAGTGGCATCTTGGCCCACCCAGTCCCTGGTCAAACACTGCCAGGCTGAGGAAGAGAGGCCTGGGCAATGTCCTGAGGTGGATAGGTGGGAGCATACCAGGAGCCCAGAACAAAGATCGCCCAGCCCTCTCCCAGCCCTGAGTGACCAGGTGACTTTCAGGAGTGGGTTCCTGGGTGATGGGGCAGGGGCCCATCTGAGGATGGATGCCACTGACACACGGGGCACCTCGTCAAATCTGGCTCCACACTCCCTGAAGTCTTGCTCAAGTATGTATGTGGGTGTTGCCTGGGCACGTGCACACTTGGGGTCAAGGCCGGAGGGGTCCTGCACCGCAGGAGGGGGCAGGAGCAAGGCCATCCGAGCTTACCAGTGGCCCTCCCTCTGGGCCTGCTGGGAAGAGCCCCGCAGCCCACGTCTTCCGGGAGCGCTCCGGCCCCTCCGGGGGACACCCCCCAACGGCCGCCCCGCCCACACGCCGCCGGGAATCCCGGGCGTCTTTCCCGTCCGTCCGCGGCGTCGTGGCAGGGACGTAACAGAAACGGCGACATCACAGGCGCCGGCGCCCCCCAAAGCCCCCAGCCAAAGAGCGCACTGGAGGCGGAGGGGCAGCAGCCACCAGCCCGCTCCCCGCCTCCCTGACAGAGCCTCGGTCAGCATGGGGGTGACAGGTGGGAGCGGGCTGGCGCGCGGCGGGGCCGGGCGCGAGGGGCGGGCGGGGCGGGGCGGGGAATCGGCCCTGGGCCCCGCGCGGTGCGCGAGCTTGTGCGCACGGGCACGCAGGCACACCTTGGAGTAAAGGCCGCAGGTTCTGGCGGCTCTTGGAGGGCTTCGGGGCACGCGGAAGCCGCAGTGGCCTTGGGCCCAGGCAACGACTCATGAATTGTCCCAAACCGCTCATAACCCCCAAATCACCTTCAGTTGTTCCTGGCTGACGATTGGAGGCTTTGCAGAGAGAAGCAGTTGGCTTCCACAGAGAACAAGCCACATGGTCTGGTAGGGTGAGAAGGATGAAGAATTCATTTCTTTGCACAGACTTTTGCTGAGCATCCACCTTGCAGACTCTGTGTGCAGCAGATCAGAGATTCAAAATGGGCAGCCCACACAGTCTGCCCAGCTCTAATAAGGGTCAGCAAGAGGTCCTGTGCTCAGAGGTCTGCAGGGAGTGGGTGGAGGCAACTGGAGGAGATAGACACAAGGGTTGGAGCTCTGAAGGTCTCCAGAAAGCAAAGCCCTGAGCATCATCACAACAGAAAGCAAGGAACATTTCAGAGATAGGAGACATCTAAGGCCCTAACCAGTGAGAGATACCTTTAGGGAGAGATGTGCAATTGGTGACTGAAGTTTGAGTCTAGAGCTTAGGAGAAGTGGGAATAATAAAGAGATTGGAGGAGCTTCTGTGGTCCCAGCCACAGGCTTGGAAGCCCCAAGAGGGCAGAGGCTGTGTGTGTTCATCACTGTGTCCCCTAGAACAGTGCATGGCCCTTATTCAAGGGCTCAACATTTAATTTTATCAAAGAAATTTATGCATGTGATTAAATAGCACTGAAGAGCTTACTCGGTGATGAAAAGCAAGTATCCTCTATAGCACACCCCCAGTCTCACTCCTCAGAACAACCACAATTGTTTCATTTGAACTGTTTTTCTGTCTAATTACCTTCTTATCTTTCTACAAGCTATCTTTCTTGGTTTATCAATTCTAGACATTATCACCTTCCTGCTCTAATGGATCCACCCTTCCCCATCCTCCCAACATCATTTTTAGATCTGCTGATGCTTTTGTAAATTTAATATACTTATATCTTTATTTTTCATCACTTTAGACAATATCTTTTGATACCACACATAGTAAGATGAAGTTTTTAGTGCCCCTACCTTTCCCTTCAGCTTTCCTCCTTCCCTCCCACCTCCCAACAATTCTAACCTGTATTTTTATCAAGGTTGGTAACACTTACATTGTCCTATAACCACAACTATGTTTTTCAATTTTTATTTATATGTTGATTCTGAAAGTTGAAACCCTGAATTGTTGTGACTACATAACTACTGTTGACTGCACAACCAATAAAGGTAACACAGTTACTTTTTCTTTCTCAGACAGCTTTTCGTTTTTCCTGGAGTTTCTGGTTGCCTTTTCCTTATATTCTTTGGTTTTGTCAGTCTTAGTTTTCAACCTTTCCATCTAGTCAACTATTCTGTCAAGTTTTCTTTATTTCAGAAATCTACTACCCAGAACCCTTCATCATCTTGCCACTCTACAGTTAACATCCTAGGACTTAGCTGCTTTCCTAATAGTGGTGGACCACTATTTCCTTCTTGGCTCTCTTGTTTCACACCTTTTATTTTGTTTTTAGCACATCCTCAAATAACTTCCTTAAAAAAAAAGAGGAAGTAAATTTTGTAAGTCATTCCATGTCTGAAATGATAGTTTGGCTGGATATAAACCTATACTTTAAAAAACATTTTCCTCAAAAATTTTAAGGCAGCCATTGTTGCTAACTCTGCTGTCAGTATAATTGATTCCTCTCCCCTTGTAGGTGACTGGTTTTTCTACTCTAGAAGCATTTAAGAATTCTTTGTTCCTGGTGCAAATGAACTTTCACAGCAAGGATCTTTTGACATCTATAATGCTGAGTGTTCAGTGAACCCTTTTAAGCCAATGACATCATTCAGTTCATGAAACATGAAAATTTTGATGTCTCTTTCCTTTTCTATGTTCTCTATTCTTTCTGGATTTCCTTTCTATAACTCAGAACTGTACTGCCTCTCGATCATTTTCTCTCACATAGTCATGATACTTTGGTTCTACTTTCTGGGAAGATTTTCTGTTTTATTTTCCAAGTCTTTTTGCCAAAAGCTCTTTCTTTCTCCTAATTTTTTAAGAGCATCCTGTTCTTGCTTTTTGGATGCAATATATATAGTTGAATATCTATATCCCAGAATCACTTAAGGGTTTAGGTATTTTTAAAGCTCCTTTCTGTTTCCCAAATAACCTCTGGTAATCTAGAGTCATCTTTTCTCTTAATCTGTCAATTGCATGTGGGCAGTTTCCTCAAATGTCTGGTGATGCTTGGCTGTTCATGTTTAAGAGTGAAATCATAAAAAGCTGATTGGGAACTGCAGGACTGATTCCCTGGCAGATGTCACTTTAGTATGATCAGGCAGGAAACAGACATATCTCTGTCTGGTTCAAGAAGATCAACAGAATTGACATCTCTAGCCAAACTAAACAGGACAGAAAGAAAGAAGACCAAAATTACCAATACGGGAAATGAAAGAGGTGGCATCACTACAGAATCTACAGATATGAAAAGAATAATAAAAAAATAATGAACAATTTATGCCAATACATTTACCAACTTAGATGAAATTGACAAGGAAACTCCAGGCTCAGGTTCACACACTTCACCTGTGAATTCTGCTAAGCATAAGGAAGAAATAATACCAATTTTATACAACCTTTTCAGAAAACTGCAGAGAGAATACTTCCCAACTCATTCTATGAGGCCAACATTGTTCTAATATCAAAGTCTGACAAAGACAATGTAAGAAAATTATACACCAATATACTTCATGAACCTCATGTGAGATTTCTTTTAAAAAGTTAGCAAATCAAATTCAACACTGTATAAAATGATAATACGTTATGACCAAATGAGATTCATCTCTGGGACGTAAGATTGATTTTAACATTCAAAACTTACTTCACCATAAATAAATAAGAGAATTATTAACAATAACATATAACATTATTCATGTTATAGCATCTTATATGTAACATATGATAACAGAATATAAAAGAAAAACAGGGGCACCTGGCTGGCTCAGTCAGAATAGCATGTGACTCTTGATCTCAGGGTCATGAGTTAGAGCCCCACATTGGGTGAGGAGATTACTAAAAAATAAAATAAAAACAAAAGAATATAACAGAAAAACTATATAATCCTCTCAATAAATGCAGAAAAGGCATCAGACAAAATCTAACATCTCTTCTAACTAAAAACTAAGTGAACTAAAGGGAGCCTGGGTGGCTCAGCCAGTTAAGTGTCCGACTCAATTTCAGCTCAGGGTCGTGGGATCAAGCCTACCATCAGGCTCTGTGCTGAACACGGAGTCTGCTCAGGATTCCCTCTCTCCTGTCCCTCCCCAGCCTTTGTATACACACACACTCTCTCTCTAAAAAGAATAAAAATTTGTAAAAACTAAGTGAACTAGGAATAAAAGGGAACTTTCCTCAACATGATAAAGGGCATCATAAAAAACAGCCAACATCATACTTAATGGTGAAATACTGAATGCTTTCTCCCTAAGGTCAGGAACGAAGCAAGGATGTCCACTCTCAATTCTATTCAGCATTGTACTAAACATTGTTCTCAGTACACTAAAGCAGAAAAAGGAAATAAGAGACATCCAGATTGGGAAGGAAGAAGTAAAACTCTTTTGAGTCACACACATAATTTTTTTAAATTGTTTAAGTAATCTCTACGCCCAACATGGGGCTTGAACCCATGACCCTGAGATCAAGAGTCACACGCTCTACTGACAGCCAGCCAGGCACCCTAGTTATACACATTATTGTTTATGTAGAGCACTCTATGGAATCTACAAAACAAAACAAAAAACTAGAACTGATAGGACTTTAGGATGGTTACAGGACATACAACTCTATACACAACAATCAGCAGTTGGAAACTGAAATTATTTCACACACTACAGAAGGTCACCTGAATCCCTAATAGAACATTCCCAAGTTGGGCATAGAGGTCCCTAGCTGAGTCAACCTCAGACTTTTGCTTCCAACCCCTAGTGCCACGATGAGGTTCATACTATAACATTTTCTCTTCCTATCCACACCCAGTTGCTCTCCATGGAAGGGTTTTAGGCTTCCATGGGTGTTGATTATTGTCCAGGGAAATTTTGAAAAGTGAACAAAGGAAGGCTCTGAGCCAAGAGGCCTGGAGAAAAGCAGCACTGGGGGGGTAGATTTGAGCTGGAAATGGAGACACGTGGGGAGAAAGCCAAGAAAACGTGGCAGTCAAGTTGGTAGAAGATTCCAGAGACCACTGAGCTGGCTCTTGGGAGCCTATCCGTGAAAGTACATTCTTAGCCTGGCCATGCGGCTGACCCAAGATGCCCAGGCCCAGGAGGAATGTGGATGTCCCCAAATGCTAGATGCAGAAACAGCCTCTACATTTCTAGAAAGAGGCCATGGCACATTCTGATCCTTTGGATATAATTCTGGGAGCAATTCTTAGCCAGAGCTGAGGCTGTCATTTCCTGCCACACTTGAGGCTCGGGGGATCCAGCTTTCCCAGTGCCATGACAGGTCCAGGATCAACCCTCATCTACTACCCCGGGGAAGAGAGAATGGGACAGCCTTGTGCTCCAACCCCCCAGAGGATGAAAAAGCAGCTTCTTCAGTAAAAGATACAAACCTCCAGGGAGGTTACTGGGGTAGGAAAACACCTACCTTCCCGAAGGTGTTGTTCAGTCTCTTCTGCAGAGAATGATGGGAACTCAGAAATCAGATTGCTGTCAGCGTCACCTCAGATCAAACGCCTAGGAGTGAGAACCTTGGCCTGCACTGGGGTGTGGGTGACCCCAGGATGTGATAGGGTGAAAAGTCTGAGGAGAGGAAGGGCTTCAGGGTAGGAGGGGCCGGGATTAGGGTGAGTGACAGATCTGAAGCCTGGTCAGAGAAGAGTGGAGAAAGGTGGCAGAGGAGTAGGAATGGAAGGTTCTGGGAGGGTTCCACGCAGAACACAGTCACGCAGTCACAGACTCCTGAGTAGAGAGTTAAGAATTTCTTCAGTCAAACCTGCATTCAGTTCCTGATGTCGGCAACCATCAGCTGAGGGACCTTGAGCAAATGAACCTCTTCTCATTTTGTGTGTGTGTTGAATTAATGAGATAAAGCACAGAAAGTGCCCAACACAATGCTTGGGCTGGCAGCACTCCATAATGGCAGTGAAGCCAGTTAGCATCCATCCTTGTGGAGGACAGTGACGGATAGGGGAGAGATAAAGGAAAGGCAGATTTGAGCATGGAGGGGCACAGATGTGGAGGGCAGGGCTGGTGACACCAGACAGAGCAGGGAGCGAGGGACAGTATGGAAGAGGGGGAGGGAAAGGGCTGAGATGCAGGATAGGGAGGGAGAGAGGGAGGGAGGGAGGGGGTAGCTGGAGCAGCAGCACCTGCCCAGGCTCCAGAACCCTCCAGGGAGGTCCTCACCTACAGCTCCCCTGCCCTCACCTCCTCCTCTCTGCCAGGTGCCAATGGATTTCCCTGCTGTGGCAAGGAGTCAGTGGACATTGTGGATACACAGTGAGAGCCAACCCCCCACCCTCCAGGCCCACCAACCCTTACCCCTTGCCACCACTGCCAAGTTCTCACGCCCCCCAACCCAGGATCTCCTTTCCTCTTTCTTCTTTCCACAATCTCCCCAAGGGCAGTGTTGTGGGGAGAGTCCTACCATCGCTCTTCTGCTTCTGCCTCCAGCCCCTGACATTAGTAACGGCTGAGGGGTGGAGGGGCTCACTCGGGGACATGGATGGGAACAGACCCCTTCTGCCTTGCTCTGAGGACACAGCCACCCGAGATGAGGGTGGGCAGGTAGATGCCTGAGGAAGGAGAGGGAGTCCCAATGGTTGGGCACTGAGGGCACTGGCCCAGGTGCCAGCAAATTGCCAACAAGAATTGAAGGGATCCTAAACACACACACACACACACACACACACACACACACACGCACATCCTCTGCCTTTCAGATCTGCCAAGCTGGGGTTGGGCAAGTCAGGAGGAGGGCACTGCCTTGGGCTTCCTCATCCATAGAGAGCCAACTTCTGGGCGCTGATTCTCCAAACGAGCTCCATTGGCTCACTGGAATACTTGATTAAAATGAAGAACCCTGGGCCTTACCTCCAACTAACCGGATCCCTCTTTGGGGTAGGGGGCAACTTGGCCAGCTCTCCAGGCACTTCCTAAACTCACTAAAGATTGAAAATGCTAGTCCAGAATTCTCGGTGGATGCAGAGATGTGAAGGGAGTGGAGGAGCCAGGGATATCTTGCCAGCCCCTGTACAAGGCGGGGGGGGTCTTGAGGGCCCCAGAGACCTCCATCCCCCTAGAGTCACCCCACCCACCCCATGGAGGTCTGTCATCCACTCTGTCTCCTTCTGTTGTAGGGGTAGCAAAAACCAACCCCAGTTCCAGCTGGTACAAGAGGAAGATGAGATCAAGGTAACAGTAGGCAGGGGCACCTCTTATGGGGAAGTGGTAGGTAAGGGGCTCGATTCTATAAGGCCCATCTTCCCTAAATCCTTGGCAATTCCAGGCCCCTGTACCAGGCCAGTGTTGGCATGTTCTTGCACACCCACCCTCACCACCTACCCCACCCTGCCTTCTGCCCCAGGCAGGTCTCTGCAAAGAGGCAAGTGGAGGGGAGGGAATGAGCGATAGGGAGTAGGGCAGTGCGAGGAGGAAGGCAGGAGAGAGGGCCGGGGAATTGGCACCAGGAAGGACCTCAGGGGCAAGGCCTCCTCAGCTTTAATTGAAACTTTTCAGCTGGAGAAAGAATTGCTAGAACTAGAGCCCCCACACAAGGTGGGCCTGGATCTAGAGCCAGAACTGGAGTTGGAGGTGGAGCCGAAGGCCGAGGACTCCGAGCAACTCAAGTATAGGATTGAGTCCCTCCAGCCCAACACGCAGCCCGACACGCAGCCCGACATCAGCCAGTGGAGCATCAGGCCAAATTCCAGCTACCTGAGTTCAGCAGAGGAGGACCAGGTGTCCACCAACCATCGCTCTATCTGCGTGCAGACCTCTAAGCACCTCTTCTGGGCAGACAAACTCATCCAGGCCTCGGAGCACAGCCTGGAACGGATGACTGACACTCAGCTGGGCAAGAACAAAGGTAAGACCATTAGCCATCTGGGCCAGCAGTCTGTCCCCAAGGACACCACGTGCTCCAAGAAGCAGCTCCAGACCCCCAGTGCCCAGCCAGGTCCGCCAGCCACAGACTCCCAACAGCTACCAAACCCCTACCCATCCTCCTCCAGTCTCTCACCAGCCATCGGTCTGGAAGAGCTGGTCAACTTTGCCTCTTCCTTGGCTGTGGCCTCTTCCAGCAAGATGGACTTGCCCAACTTGGAGCACATGATCAAAGCTCCGCCCCAGAAGGCTGAGGCGCCTTCTACAGATCCCACCACCCAGGTGGCCATGGACCAGCCCGAGAAGAAAAAGCTCACTAAAGAGTTGCCAGATAGACCACCACTTAAAGCCAGGGAGTCACAGAAAGCTCAGAAGCCACAGGACAAGAACTTCTCCCACCCTTACCTCGACTTCAGCAAGCCGGGGATCAAGAGGGCTACCATTAAAGGAGAAGTGAAGCTTCTCCAGCCACCGGCCATGTCCCCTCTGCCTCAAGGAGACATGAAAGAGTAAGTGAGGCTGGCTCACGGCTTCCCACCAGAGGGGGTGCTCCAGGATGGGCGGGCCCACTCTTCACACAGCTGGATGGGGGGTGGAAATGGAATGAGGGGCTAGGTAGGGGATGGGGCACGCTGTGATGTCTCAAACTCAGTGACTTCATAAAGGCTGCTGGAAACAAGGTTCCAGTGGACTGAGGCTTGGTGCCAGGGCCAGGGCTGGAGGAGGCCCCAGGGACCATGGAGGGTGAGCATCTCTGGGCCCAGGCAAGGACCTGGGTTCAACATGGGAAGTTAGGGTTAGGAAGCTTGGTCCCTAGAGGGTAGATGGCCTCACTCTCATGAGAAATGCTTAAGCTAGCATCTGCCCCACTGGGAACCTGATGGCCCCAGGCCCAGGACCCCTCTGTGGAGCATGGTGTGAGGGAACACGGCTCTCCAGCGGCCCTTGCTTCCTGGTGACAAATGGACACCACAGAAGGTCAGCTGCCTATCAGCGTGCAGCAGGAAGAGGCCCTCTTACCCCGGGGCCTCCTTGCAGAGGCCTCTGGGCTCACCCCTCTCCCCGACCCTGCCACGGGGCCCAAATGACACTCTCTCTTTTGCGTTGCAGCTCGGTGCCGGGAACCAGGAAAGGGAGTCCATTATTGCTGAAAATCCATTTTAAGGTGTCGTCCCCCACTTCCCCAGAGAAATGACTAGACAAAACCAGTAAAGCCTCCAGTGCTGGCCTCCGGCTCAGACTGTTTGTGCAAACGCTCTGGACTAGTGAGCTTACCTGGCTGTGGCGTCCTGGTCTCGATTTTTTAGGGATGCCACCCGTTTTGTTTTTTTTTTCTGTCAAGACTTTATTTAAATTCTAGTTAGTTAACATATTGTGTGGTATGAATTTCAACCCACCCTCATTTTTTAGCTACCCCAGCCCCCCTGCTCGGCCCGTCCCCAGAGGCTCACCCAGCCATGTTCAGCCCCTACTCACTGCCCCTGGCTTGTTCCACTTCACTCACACCTGTCCAGACCTCTCAGCCTGTGGCAGAGGCTCATGACCAGTCTCGGGGAGACCTTGGCACCCTCTCTGAGGCTTTGGGTGTCTTAGGTCATGAAGCGAGGTTTCCTCTTGGCCTGAAGCCGTGTTGGGATCATTTTAGGGGGGACCTCCTGGGGGTGGCCTGGCTGGGCAAGGAGGCGAGTCTGAAGGGAGTTCTTCTGTCTAGTGTGGGGGCCTGGCATGGGGAAGGCACGATGTCCAGGGGCTGAAAGGGACAGGAAGAAAGAAGCCAAAGGACTGCCCCACTAGGGGCCACAGCCTGGAACTAGAAGTATCTCAAAATGTAGGGGAGAGCCCGTATGTAATGATGTACTTCCCCATGCAGCCCAGACACACACACACACCAGCCGCTGATTCATACAGCACACAGGCACACACATACCACACATCCACTCAGTTTCACACGTCCCAGGTGCACAAGCACACATAAACACGCATGTGTTAGCCAGACACATGTGCTAAACACACACACGAATGCACAAGTCTCCCCATGTTGGAGGAGGACAGGCAATGTGTTTCCAGAGAAAGATCTGGAAGAGGAGCGCAGGGAAGGGAATTCAGAATGTGGGGAAGGACATGGGCATGATAAGGGAAGTCAGGGAGAGAAGGGAGGGGGAGGCAGAGCCACAGATTGGGCCCTGGTCAGCCTCCAGACCTAGCAGTGCCAAGGCTCCCTGTCAAGTGAAAGCTCGGCCTCGCAGATCCCCAAGAGCCTGCCCTGCCTTGAGAGGAGGCTGAAGAGGGAGGTGCTCAAGGCCTAGGAGGGTGAGATTAGGAAGGCGTAACAGTTGGGAATGGGGTGGGGGTGCAGGGGCAGGAAACTGGGAAGAGGAAGGAGGAGGAGATGCAGAGTGAGTATCCCTGGAGGCGCTGGGCTGTTGGGGAACATCTTCCAGGAGTATTTTGTGAACTATGATTTGTAAGTTTACATGGTTTGGAGGAGGAGATCCTTCTCTCCCAGGGGACCTGGGGTAAGGTGGGTCACAGGCCCACCCTGGGCTAGACTCCTCCTTCCCAAGGCCCGACTTCGGGACTCTAAGGCCTGCTTCTCCCTGGGCCTCTGCCAGCCTGTGTTAGCTTCTGGAGTGGAGTTGCAAATTCGGATGCTTTAAGGGGAGCAGAAACTCAAAAGAGTAAAACAGCAGGTCGCCCTGCCAAGAGAAGCAGGCCTGTGGTGAGGGAGAGTGCACCCTTGCCAAAAGATGTTAAAGTCTAACCCAGAGCCAGCCTGGGGGCTGCGGGCCTGGGGCACTGGACCAGCCTCAGAGCCTGTGACTCTGCCTTTCAGGCAGCCGAAGGCAGAAGACCAGGAGATCCCTGTCGTCAGCACAGGGAACGTACAGGTAAGCAGGGCCGGCCAAGGGTCTGCAGGTACAAGCTTCTGCCTGCAGAATCCCCTGGATAAGGGACTGTGAGTGCAGGCTGGGGGGGGTGGGGTGGGAGGAGGTAGAGCTGAGCCTGGTCTCAGGGTCCCTGGAGTCTGAGCCCCCCCCCCCCCGGGGCCCCTCAGCCCTGTCTTCCCCCTGCCTCCAAGGCCTCCCCAGCAGCCTCGAAGACTGCCCACACAGGACCCAGGAGAGGAGCAGCCCTGCAGGATGCAGAAGGGGAGGCCTCAGCAGCCCACTGCCCTGCCGGCCCAGAGGGAGCCAGCATCCATCGTGGCCACAGGGGCTGAGCAGTGCTCCCGGAGGGCCAGAGGGTTCAAGCACCTTGCAGCTACCAGCTCAGTGAAATCAGGCTCAGGTGCAGGGTCTCAGAGGTAAGGGCAGGGACTGCAAAGCGGGCCTGAGGTGCTGGGTTTGGAATAAGGCCTGCCTGGCCCCGACATCTCTCTGCAGTGGGTGCAAAGCTCCTTTCCACTCTCTTCCTCCTGAAGCAGCTCTGCAGATGAGAACCTGCTACCCCTGACAGCCCGGCTGCTGGAAGGTGAGGGCCCCAGGGCCAGGAGCAGGAGAGAATGAGGGCATACTCACAGCAGAACTACAAGGGGTCACTTCCCCAGAGTCTGGGGCCATTGGAAACAATCATATTGTAACCATTCCTCAATGCCAGGCTAATTGGCTAATCTTTACAATTCCAGGGCTCACTGATCTGTGTGTGTGTGTGTGTGTGTGTGTGTGTGTGTGTGTAAAAGAAGGGAGGGAGGGATTGGTGGATAGGAAGGTATTTGGATGATGGATGGATGGATGGATGGATGGACGGATGGACAGCATGGAAGGAGGAAGGGAGGAAGGAAATTGGGAGAGAGGATAGGGAAAAATAATCTGAGTTCCCCACCCCCCCTAGAATCTGGGGCTATGGGGTCAGGGGTATAAGGAACCACTTCTACATTTGGGGGGCCCAATGCCACTGTAATATTGGCAGGGGTCCCTCAAAGCAGAGTAATTTTACTCACCATCATTAATCTTTAGTGCCTGCTAAATGCCAGGTGCCAGCAGGGCTCCTGGAGCCTCAGAGCATTGCAGCTCCAGAGCAAGAGTCCAACGGCCAGCCCTGCCCAGTCTCCTGGTGATGTGACCTTGGACATAAGTTTTGAATGTCTTTTCATACCAACATGTCCAAACACAGGTTTTGGACATGAGAATTGAACGGAAAACTTAACAAATGCCAACACACAGTAGCCACTGTTGTTCTTTAAATGTTATAATGCCCCCCAAATGTCTTGGGTGTTGGAGAGACCCAAGTCTTCAGTCCCATTCTGAGCTAGACTGGGCCGATCTCTGGGCCCCTGTGTGTGGGTTCACCTTGTTCCCTGCCTCCCTCCCTGCCCTCAGCGTTCCAGGAGATCTTCAAACTGTTCAGCTCCAGCCCGACAGGCACTGTGGACATGCGCAGCATGAAAGCTGCCCTGCGCAATGTGGGCATCCAGCTGAGCCCACAGGAGATGTGTGAGGTTCTGCAGCAGGCAGACTTGGATGGTGGGTATCCCCACCCCTGGCCTTTTGTCCTCCTTCACTTCTGGCCCTGGAGAATGTCTCCTGTGCCCACAGACTCCGTAGCCTGGTCCTATTTTAAAGTTCCCTCTTCCAGGAAGCCCGCTCTGATCAATACATCTATCCCATGGCCCCTAAACATATTTCTGCTGTGTTAATCCTCATCCTGACTTGGGGATCCCCCAGGGCAGGGGCTATTTCTCCCCCATTCAACTGGGATTGACATTTGGCTAGAATTGGGACTGGATTCTCTGATGTCTGGAAGAAACTGCAAACAAGCCTCTAAAGCATATGCAGGGTAGGCCTTCTGCAGAGGAGGTACCCACAAAACCCCTTCCTCTCTCTCTCTTCCCAGGTGACGGAACTGTAAGCTTCAAAGACTTCCTGGGTGTCCTTACTGACAGCCACCGCCTGGCTCAGTGCTTGGGTGAGGGGCAAGGCTGGTGGAGTGGGAAGGCCTGGACTGAGGGGAGATTCCTCCTCACCCTCCCCTCTGATCTCTGACCCCCAGGCCAGGTGAGGAACAGCCGGTTCTATGACCCCCAGGGCCTGCAAACCCTTTTCTTAGAAATGCTGTTCAAGCTGATGAGCCAGGGCTTCCTGCCCCACAAAGTGGTACAGGAAGTGATGAGGTAAGCCCCTGTCCCCAGCTTCAGGGCCCAGGATGGGGGGAGCAGATGCTGCTGCAGGCCGGGTGCCCTGAGGCTCCTGCCCCAGAATCGGGAGCCCTGAATTCTGGGTCTGTTCCTGTCGTGCTTTGGTTTCCCCGCCTTCCAGACACAGAGGTGGGGGGAGGCGGGGTCTGACTAGGCGGGGGCGCCCCCCCTCCCCTCCAGCTACTACACGAAGAAGCAGCGGGCCCTGCGGCTGAACCCAGGCTGGAAGGGCCGGCCCCGTGGCCGCAGCGGCGCGGTGCGCACTCACGCGAGCCTCACCTTCTTCTGCCAGGCCGCGCGCCTGGGCGGCCTCTCGGGCGCCGAGCTGGAGCGCTCACTGCACAGACTGCACAAAGCAGGTGCGCCCCGGGCCGGGCGGGGACCCACCGGAGGGGCCAACCCTGACTCGGGACCTGCGGGCAGGACTAGCCTCTCCTTGTCCTCCTCCCGGCCTCCCCGGGGCCAGGTGCGCGCAGCCCCTACTCCCAGATACCTAACTTGGCCGGGCGGACACCCCCAGAAGACCGGACGCGGAACCGAGCCCCACTCCCCCACGTCCGACTTCCCAAGTCCTGCCAGCCCAGCCGCCACAAACCCGGGTCCACCCAGAGGTCCCTCAGCCTGGGTGAGAGCCGCGGGCGGGGCCGGGACTCCCGGAGACCCGGAGGGCGGGGACGCTGGACCGAGGCTGGGGCGGAGCCTAAGGAAAAGGCAGGGCAGCCGGGCCGCGGCGGGACGGCGGGGCGGGTGGAAAGGAGGGCCGAGGGGGCACCAACCCGGAGTCTCAAGGAAAGCAGCCCCCTTGACCCTCCGCACGCCCCCTCCCCCAGAGTCCGTGGGCCAGCCACTAGACGATCTACGCCCCCCGAAGATGGCTCCCTCCCCACCAACTCTAGTGCAGCAGCAGCCCTTCTCCCCTTCGCCAGCCTGTTTGCCGAAATCTGCTATGAAAAACGTGTACAAGTAAAGCGTTTGCGGAGCAAAATAGGCTGCGTGTGGTGGGGCGGGCACAGAGCGAACACGCATCTTTTGCAAACATCTTTATTAATCATCTTTATTAATCTTGTATAAAAATAAGGTCCTTGGAGAGTTCCCGGAGCTAAGGGTGGAGCACGACGTTGCACTTTATAAGTTACAGGCCAGGCTCCGGCTGAGGCTAAGTATGGCTATTAGGGGGTGAGGGGTGCTGCAAGCAGCATTTGGGGGAGCAGCTGGCGATGCTGTACCTCCACCACGCCCCTGCGCCCCCCCATCCCCACACCCACCACCTGGGGTGGGCCCATCTCAGAAGGTGGCAGCGCCAGAGGGGGTCGCCCAGGCCCAGCCGAGCTGAGCTGAGGGCCACCTTCCTTGTGCCACGGCTTGCCAATCCCCCACTGAGTCCATCAGCAGAAACTGCGGGCTAGAGCGAGAGATCCGAGGTGACCTGCAGGGGGGGTCCCGGGGGGCGACGGCGAGCACTTCTGCGGCCTGTGTCTGAGCGGATGTAGGGCTGATTCCGCAGATCTGGCAGCCAGGAGGAGAGACACTTACCCTTCAGAAGTCTGCCCCTGGGCTAGGACCACAGCTCCAGGGCACAGACCTCAGCCCTGTAGGGGCCGTGTTTATGTTTACCAGACCCTGCTCAAGCACACCCCAGCCATGTGTGGCCCCAGGGAGGACAGCATGACCCAATCCCCCGAGGGCCCCCAGGGTTGCGGGCAGCTTCTGGGGTCAGAGGCCAGGCTACCCAGGTACCTGGGGGCTAGAGAGGGATCTCTTCTCCCAGGCTGGCCTCACAGAGGAGCCTGGATGTCCGCTTGCCGGTGCGGGCCGTGAAGGGCACCGTCTTGAGCACTGACAGGATGGAGGAGGAGGGAAAGAAAGGGAAAAAAGACAGAAAAAAAAGCAAGAGGCAGTGAGGCAGCCAGACCCCTAGGGTGGGGGAGGAAGGAGGACAGCATTAGAAAGACAGAGGCCAGGCCAGGCCCAGCCAAAGCCTCACCTGTGATGATATCTTCAATGGCGCCATCACGGTCACTCTCATAGATAAGTGGCTCCTTCTGCTGCTTCCGCTTCAGCTCAGAGATGAGGTCCATCTGCTGCCGCCGGGCCTTGGGTGGTGATGGGGAGGAGGAGTTGGTAATGGAAGGTGTGTAGCTCTAGCTCCAGAATCCCCTCTCCCCAGGCTACCAAACCCTAGAACATCTGCCTGCCTGGTCCCCCACAGCAGGCTGGAGCAGAAGGAAGCCATTCCCATCCCAGGTTCCTGAAGTACCATCCTCACCTTGGGCAAGGTCTATTCATAGAAAGGAGGGTGTGGAAAGGGGCCAGATCTTTGGGATGAGGATCCCTGCAAAGTGCCAAGCTCAGGCACAACTGCCTACCTTGGGTGCTGGAGCTTCCTCTTTGCCCGGGGCATCGGCACCTGCCTCCTGGGCTACTGCTTCCTTCTTCCACTGTTCCACCTCCTGCTCAGCTTTCTGAGGGGCCAAAGTGGGTCTCCATGAGAGGAGTCTTATCCAACCCTCAGAGAGAAGTGTCCCCTACCCCTCGCACTGCCCAAGTGGAGAGGCCAAAATGCCCACCAGACACACATACCTTGTAGGCCTTGATGAAACGGCTAAAGAGGGAAAAGAACATGGAGGGGGATGTGGTCTTGGGGTTCTCTCCGAAGTACTCTACCACAGATTCGTAGGCCTCCTGTGGGCAACAGCCTGTCAGACCCACCAGCACCCACCCCCCAGGAGTTCTGTGTGCCTTTAAGACCCTGGCCACTTCATCTCTGGCCACTTCATCTCTGCTCTGCCAGGCAGGTGGACCCCCTGCCTCATCCCCGACTATGTCCCTGACCCTCCTGGCCTACATCCCCCACCACGGCCTTCTTCCCGGCCTACATCCCCCACCCCAGACTCCCCACCTTCAGCGCTCTTGGCCAGCCCTGGCCCACCTGAGCAGTCTTGCTGTCTGCCAGCAGTTTATCCATGGTGGGCGAGTTGGCCCTCAAGAACTCCTTGAGCACCATGCAGTCGTCCTGCCGCACAAACTCTCGCTGGGTCAACTCCAGGCCTCGCTGGAGGGAACGCACGTCCCCTAGGACGCTGTCCAAGGACACTGAGTGGGAGGGCAGGGCGGTATAGAGGCAGGGAATCAGAGAGGCCACATTCCCATGTCCCCTCCCCAGGGCGGAGCCCCTCACCCCACCCAAGGATGGGATACCTGCACCCCTACCTGACCCTGCCTTGTCCAAAAAGTGTAGGTCGCTGTGGAAACCTGTGAGCTGTGGGTACTTCTCAGCAATGACCTTCACTAGGTAGTGCAACAGCGTCTGCTTGCGGTCGGTGGACTTCATCTCCAGCAGCTGCGTGCAGGCCAGTTGTAAGCCACAGGCCACCAGCTATTCCCCATCCCCCAGGCCAGGGAACCCCGCTTTGTGCCCCTCACCACATCCAGACTCTGGAGCCGGAAGCCATAGGCTGCTCCACGCTTGCTGCTGTTCATGTAGTTGCCAAAGGCCAGGACAATCTGGGAGAGGTAGGGGGGAGGAGTTCAGCAGGGTGGTGGGGCCCAGGGAACCCCCTGAAGTATGACCTGTGCAAATCAACGTGGCAAAGAGCAAGCCCCACATGCTCAGCCCGCTCAGCCCACACTGCATACCTCCTTGGACCTGTCAGGTCCATGGCCCATGTATATCACGTGTACCTATCTGTGTGCCTGGCACACCCATTTTTTTTTTTTAAAGATTTTTTAAGTGATCTCTACACCCAACATGAGGCTCAAACCTACAACCCTGAGATCAAAAGTCTCATGCTCAGGGTGCCTGGCTGGCTCAGTTGGAGGATCATGCAACTCTTAATCTTGGGGTCAGGAGTTCAAGCCCTATACTTGGTGCAGAGATTTCTTAAATAAATATGAATAAACTTTAAAAAAAAAAGTCACATAATAACTGAGCCAGCAAAATGCCCCCAAGCATACCTAATTTTGTCCTCTGTTATTCCTACCCAAAACTTCACTGCTGACCTCTCCTCAGCTGTGGTGTCACAGTCCAACAGCCATTTCTACTGGGTCCCAGATACTCCACCAGACTCCATTGGGTAGGTGTGGATGCTCTGCTAATCACACGGTGATCCCCAGAGAGGATCCCTCTCACACAACCCAGAACAGGCAAGGAGTCATAGGTGGGCCCTACTTCCCAGACCCTTGCCCTGGGCTCTCACCTCCAGGATCTGGCGGAGTTTGTCAGAGGACTTGATGGACATTGAGGCTGCAATGATGGCATTCAGTTGCTGGGGGTGGGATTGGAGAGGCAAGATAAGTTTGGGGCAGGGTCGGGGGCAAGCCCGTGGGAGGCTCAAGGACTCCTAAATGCCCTCTGGGAGCCCAGGCTGCTGGCTGCCTTCCGGCCTCCCCAACCCAGGGCACAGCGCCCTGCCTGCCCCGCCCACACCGCTCTGCCTGCCCCGCCCACACCGGCATGAGCAGCTGGACAGTATCCGGAAAGTTGCCCAGGAAGGTGAGCGTGGCCATGCGCTCCGGCAGGCGCGGGATGCGGCTGAAGCGAAGCATAAAGCGGTCCTCCTCTGACAGCTCCTCCATGGGTCGCTGCTCCTGCTCGAAGCGGGTGATCAGGCTGCGCTCGTACTCCGTGGGCAGGAAGCGGGTCAGCAGTTCCAGGAAGTCCAGGCCAAGGGCCTGTAGGTCATACCTGGTGAAAGGTGGTGGAAGATGGCGTAGTTATCCTTCTACACCCACCAGATCTGGAGGGTAGGACTACCACCTCCCCTCACTTCCTCCACTGAATAAGTGAACTTCAGTATTCGCTATCTGCCAACAGCTCCAAGGACCAAGAGGTAGGACTCAGGGAAGTTGGGAGCTGCGAAGCCTGAGGTCCCTGTCATACATCAGTGCCAGAAGCCCAGCTGTAAATGCCTGGGCCTGAGTGCCCACGGCTGGGCAAGAAGGCAGGGAGGAAATGGGAATGTCTCAGTCTGGGTGTGACTCACAATATGGCCTCAGGTTTTTGGGCCTGAAAATGAGAAGCGATTCCCAGCTCTACCCCCTGACCAGGGTTAGCATGAACCTTGATGGCCTCTGCCTCATAGCTGGGACTCTTTTACCAGATGCCTGATGACCCTGGCCTAGCGAAGGGGCTGGGCTACTCACAAGCACAGGGTAGAGGTACTCACATCTCGATGGCCTGGCAGATGCGGTCAGCCCCCAGGTTGCCCTTGCGCAAGGTGATGGCCAGGTTCTTGGCCCGGTTGGCCTCGATGAGGGTGGCCTTGCTGGGGGCCTTCTGGGCTGCCTTACCCTTGAGAGCACTGAGGTCCAGGCTGGGACCTTGGGACTTAGTCTTGAACTGTTCCTCAAAGTCACTCATGTCTAGCTCCTGAGGGCACAGGTAGAGAGGAGGTGGAGCTAGGCAGGCTGGGGTCTGATACCTTCCTGGCTGACCCACCTTTCCAGCCCTGACCACACCACCCGCAGAGAAACAAACCAGTAACCCGGCTTGACCAGAGGCCCTGATGGGAGATACACAGGAAGAGCAGCACCTGACCCTGGGGACCCAGACTCCAAGCCCTTACAGCTGAAGGAAGAACTGAATTGCCAGGGCTAAAAAGGGGAAAGGGAAGGGCATTCCAGGCAGAAGGAACAGCATGAGCAATGGCTGGAGGCAAGAGAACACATCCTTTTTGGAAAATTAAAAGCAGAATTAGGCTAGAGGCGCCTGACTTTGGCTCAGGTCATGATTTCAGGGTTCTGAGACTGAGCCACATGTTGGACTCCATGCTAAACTTGGAGCCTGCTTAGGATTCTCTGTCTCCTTCTGTCCCCCTCACCCTACCCCACCCGGCTTTCTCTGAGATTAAAAAAAAAGACTTGAAGCCCTGGTTTTCTGTGTGGGTGGTGAGAAAGAAGCTTAAAAGGAAGAGAGAGAGGCCAGACGTGCCCTCAAACAGTGAGGGAAAAAAAGAAAACAGTGAGGGAGTTAGGAAAGCCTCCTGGGGAGTCCAGATATACTGCCTATCAGATACACTAATCCAGTTTAGCTTAACACCCATCCCCAGCCTCCATGCCCTCATCTGTACAAAGGGGTAGAGGAGATGACCAGGCACGATCCAGGCAAGTCCCCTCCTCCCCTGGCACCCACACTGGAAGCTAGGCAGGGCGTACTCACCTGCAGCACCTTCTCATCATTGAGCTCAGTGAAGACGGTGCCTGTGATCTGGCTGGGTTTCAGGGCCACCCAGTTTAGGAGTGGCATTCTGAACTTGGTCTGTATTGGTTTCTTGGCCTTTACTCCTGGGACATAGATGGAGTGGTGAGTGCTAGGGAGATGAGGGTGGGGTGGCTGGAGAGACCCAGGGCCCAGAGAAGCCTGACAGGACAGGCAGAAGGCAAAAGGAGGCCCCCATACACAGGGTCCTGGAGGACACTGAGGTCGGGGCACCTCCATATCTCCCCCCCAGCCCTGGACGGTTCACTCACCCGGGCCCATCTCTGGGCCGGACCCTCCAAGAGCATCAGAGGGACCTCCTGGAGGCGGTGGAGGCGGCGGAGGCACTGGTCCATCTGCACCGGGAGGCAGCGGTGGCGGCGGGGGTGGGGGCGGCAAGCCTCCCGGCAGCGGTGGGGGCGGGGGATCCGAGCTGCCAGGGATGGGTGAGGCCAGTGGGGGTGCTGAAGGCGGGGCTTCCTGCTGGGAGGAGGAACTGGGAAGTGGGGGTGGTGGTGGTGGCGGCGGCGGGGGTGCTGCTCCAGGAGCCGGCTCTGCCGAAGGTAGGAGATCTGAGCCTGGAGAGAACCCAGAACCCAAGAGAGGGGAAAGGGGGTGTCAAGTTCGGGGCCTGGGTGGTCTGTCCCCCCTCCCCACACATGCGCACTGGGCCCACGCCTACTGTCCTACCGCCACCTGACCACGCCCACAACCCCGAGCCTACCTCTGCCTGCTCTCTCCGCAGAGACTTCCCGGGCTCCCCTTCCCGACCCTGGTTCCCCTGCTCCCACCCCGCCCAGCCTGAAGCTCCTGCGCACCTGGGCTGGGTGAGCTGGTGGGCACTTCTGGGGCGGGCACTCCTGGAGGAGTCAGGGCGTCACTGCGGCTCGGAGTTGCCACGGCGACGGGAAGGATCTCAATGGAGACGGCATCCCCGGGCCCCCGCAGGATGCGGATTAACCCCTTCTCCTCCAGCTCCTCCACCTTCAGCTCTAAGGCCGAGGGCCGCGCCGCCGGCACGGAGGTAGGCACTTTCTCGGGCTCAGGAGGACGCCTGGAGGCGCCCATGGGGGTCGACTCGCTGAAGCGCTCCTGCGAGCCCCGGGGGAGGGGTCAGTGCCTACCAGCAGCCCGGGCACAGAGCCCCACCCTCCGGCCGCGGTAAGGGAGGTGTCCCCGCAGAAGCCCCCACGGGTCGGCTCCGGGAAGCCGGGCCCCAGCCTCACCCTCAGGGTCTCCAACTCCTTCCGAGCCTGGCTTAGCTGCTTTTCCAGTTCGGCGATCTTGGCCATGGATTCGTTCTCCGCGTCCCGAAGCTTCTCCGTCAGCTGTGGCACAGCACATGGTGAGCTCCCACCCGCCGCTGGGCACTGGCGCCGCCGCTGAGGGGGCGGCAGCAGGCAGGCCTGCCTCCGGGGCTGGGGGAGGCTTCCGGATGCGCTTAGCACAGGGTGCCTGGCGGGTGGGCTAAGCCTGGAGCCGGAGCCAAGGAGGTGAGATCCTGAGGGCACTGACGTTCTCTCCGGAGGAGGAACCAAGGCACCGCTGAGGAGGGAGGCGGGCGGAGAGGGGCACCGGGCACCTCGTTACACCCAAGCCAGGTTTGGGCTCTGAGCGCAGGGAGAGGAGGTGCCTGCCTTCTTCCTCTGAGGTCCAGCACCCAGCGAACGCTCATTGAGAAAGACACCACAGGATTCAAGATTTGGATTCAGGTCTAGGTCAGGGGCCTGGCAGACGATTACCCCCTATTCCCACCCAGAACCAATGCCTGAGCCCAGTGGGGGGTGGGGGGGCAGGTTGAGGAGCAGCTCTCACCAGGGCCACCTGCTCCTGCAGCTCTTCCATGTGCTCCAGCACAGCATTCTTGGTCTCGGTGTCCTCCAGCAGTGCACCCACATCAAAAACATTATCCAAGTATGCTTGAATCTGTACCAGCAGCTTGTCACTCTCTGTGAGCCGGAGCCTCTGTCCCCCAGACGGAAAGAGCAGGGTGGGGCCCAATGTAAGGGGTCTTTCCAGTACCACCCCCACCATCAGCATGAGATGGGGCCTGAGCCCCAGCCTGCTTTTTTAATTTTTTATTGTTATAATTCACATGCCATAAAATTCATTATCTTAAAGCATATAATTCAGTAGCTTGTAGTATATTCACAAGGCTGTGTGACCATCACAACTGTCTAATTCCAGAACATTTTCATCCCTCTAGAAGAACCCCTGTACCCGTGTTAGCGTCATTCCCTATTCTCTCCTCCCCCAACTGCTGGCAACTGCCAATCTACCTTCTGCCTCTGTGGACTTACCTCTTCTGGACATTCATATAAAGGAATCACGCGGTATTTGGACTTTTGTGTCTGGTTTCTTTTACTTAGCAAAATGCTCTTGAGGTTTATCCACATGGTAGCAGGTACCAGTACTTCATTCCTTTATATGGCTGACTAATATCCCCTTGTATGGTTGTATCACTCCAGCCAGCTTTTCACCTTTTGGCCTCTAGAAAGCCAATCCCAAATGTCCTGCTCCTCCAAGAAGCCCCCCAAAGGAATCAGGGGACCTGCAGCTTCTCTGCTCAGGCTGGACCAGGAAGCACCAAGACCCTCGGTCTACCTTTCCCAGGGTAAGGAACTCCCCTATGACCTGGGTCCATCCAACATGAGCCAGCTCCCACTTTGGCCCCATATCTCTGTGCTCCCCATTATGTGCTTGAGTCAGAACCTGTCTGAGAATGATGCTCCCAAAGCCAGACCCAGGGTGACCTAGAGCCTGTTCCAATGCTGCAAGAATAGCTCCAGGGACAGTGGGCCTATTAAGTGGCAGAAAATGTCCTGCCTCATTCTGTTTATAGAGTCATCATTACCTTTATGAGTCTCTTGTTTTATAGATGGGAAAAAATGAGACTCTGAGAGAAGAAGAAACCTATCCAAAGTCACATGGGCTTAGAAGCAGAGTCGGGATTTGAACCAGACCTGCCTGACCTCAATACCCAGGTTGCTAACCACACAGCCCTACTCTGCAGCTGATGAGTGGTTAAGTCCCAGTGAGGGAGATGCAGGGAGTCCCAGTGAGGGGGATGCAGGGCTCACCTCCAAGTACAAGTCCAGGCCCAGGTGGGTGAACTCATATTGCAGGAAGACACGGAAGTTCATGTTCTCCACAGAGTGTACCACGATGTTGATGAATTGCATGCAGGCCACCTGGGGAGCAGAGCCCACGGGCAGGTCTCTGGGGGGGGAGTGCTGCATACCCTCTGTGCCCTATATACTCCCAAGTCTCTTCTCTTCCCCATTTCTCACTCCATTAACCCAGCTTTGTCCCTACCCATACCCTTCCCCCACCCCCAAACCACTCAGTCCTCACAATTCACAGGAGCAGAGCCCAGAAGCCAGATACCCCAGGCCCCTGGCTGCTCCTTACACTGAAGGTGGCCAGGCCCAGCCTGGGCTCCCGAGCTCACCATGAAATCAATGTTGCTGTCTTCTTTCTGGAAATACTCCATCAGCTTCTCGAAGCGGTGCTGCTCCCCACACACCTGGGTGGGGAGAATGGCTGTCACTAGGGCCCAGTGACATACCTCCTAAGCCATTTGTAGTAGCCACCACCTTTGTGCTTCTACAGGCTCCTCCACATTAAATCTGAGTCAGGCCATGTCGCTCTTCCACTCAAAACCTCCCCTCCCCTCCCTCTCCATTTCCCCCAGCTCTCCCTTCACTTACTACACTGGCCACACTGGTATCCTGGCACCTTCCCAACCCAGGGCCTTTGCACCTGCTGTTCCAGCTGCCTGCTGTTCCTGCTTTTAGTCAAGATTGCCATCACACCAAGCTTCTCACTTCCTTCACAGCCTTGCTCAAACTTCACCATCTCCATGAAGCTTCCCTGACCACCCTGCAACCCATTTCTCTTGTCCCTCCAGCGGCCTGGACTCAGTCCTCAGAGTGTTCACCATTTCAGACACATAACCTGCTCATTTTGTATACTGTATATTATTATCTGCCCTCCCTTGCCTTCTTTGTTTCTTTTGCTCACTGATGTATCCCAAGTGCTCAGTCTGTGCCTGATACATAGTAGGCACTCAACAAGTATTCAAGAAAGAAATTAATGACCATATCCCACCCCTATGCATCATATTCTTATGCATCTACTTAGCCAGAGTCAGCAGACATGTATATATGCAACTCTGAGATGCCTGGACCAAGTACACTTTGGATCTGGCCAGGCTGAGGGTCAGAGGTTCAGCAGACCTCCATAGTTGTCCCTGTCACCCCAGACAGTGCCCCTATATGACCTAGCACCTTCCCTCCAAAGCTTCCCCATCCCAGATTATCTTCACCCTGTGCTCCCCAAATGCCCACCCAACACTCCCAGCTGTCCCCAGAAGAGGCCACAATTGCCAGCAACAGGCCTGCAAGCAGCACTAGAGAACAAGCACGTGTTTGGGGTGGGGGGACTTCAGTACCTCCTTGAAGTTGTCAAAGGCCGCAAGAATGATATCATGCCCTCCCCGCACCAGACACACAGCTGCCAGTAGCTCCAGCACCAGAGCCTTGGTTCTAGGGACAGAAGGGCCAGTTTATTCCTTGAAAGCAGGCCCCTCAACAAGGGTGGGTATAGGTCTGGCTGGGGGAGAACAGGGCAGCTGATGGGTAATAGGGGTGGAATAAGCCTGGTCAGTAATCCTGAGAACTGGGGACCAGAGTAGGCAAGGGGTGAAGTGGCAGGATAATCTAGATGTGGAGAAAGGGGAGGGGCCCGGACCTCACCTTGGGTTCTTGTTGTTGAGGCTCAAAGCAATCTCATTGACACAGGCTGGGTGGGTCATGACGAGGCTGAAGCCAGACTGGGGATAGAAAGGAAAGGTCAGCTCCTCCAGGCAGACCCCCAGGACTGCCAGCACTGCTAGCAGCGCCATTGTATTCTGGTCTCTCACTGTCTTCAAGCTTGGGAAGTTCTTTATACCCAACTATAGCCTTTTCTGTGGCTGCCAAAGCCTGGCCCCCCTTTTTAAATAACTTTGTTCAAAAGCCAGTGTCAGGATTCAGCACCTCGACACAGTGAGCCCTCAAAGGCCTGCTAAGTGAAGGAGCACTTGCCCCACCAGCCACTCCTCCAAACAAAGTAACCCAGAGCTGCTCTCCATGAGGGTGCTGTGTCCAGCCTTCCTTGGTGGGTGTGCCTAGGTCCCCACATTAGTCCCCACCAAAGCTTGGAAGTCATCATGGAAATGCTCTCCACAAGGTGGCGCTCACAGCCCCATGGGCTTCTCTTCCAATCTTGGAAGGCCAACTCTGAACTCAGACTCCCTTGGTTCATGCCCCCAGTCATGTCCAGGGTACTCCAGAGGACCTGACCAGGAGGGGACAGAAATCTGGGCTTCCCCTCATGACTCAGTAGCCTCAAGACCCTCAATGGCCCCCATCCCCAGGGTTCTCCAATGGGGAACAGGGTCAGGGGACAGTCAGTCCCTGAACCTCAGCGGCCTAGGTAGCTCCCAGTGAGGACAGGCCCAGCTCCCCAGGTCCCCCAGTGCCTTGTCCCCACTGACCAACCTGGTAGTTCATGATGGCACGCAAGCACATGATGCACACATGGACGTCATCCTTCTGGCTAACAATGCGAGAATTCCTCAGGGTCTTCCTGCTGTGGGCGGGGGTCAGCCTGGGTGGAGGAGGGAGGGGGCAGCTGGGATTAGAGTCCTACTCCCAGCTTCCCACCCCCACCCCACCCTCAGAAGGCACATTTGGAACATTAGGCCACTGATTCCCATCCACACAACCCAAGAGGCCAGCTGAGGGCAGGAAGGCTTCCTTGGTCCCTAGGCCTCGGGCCTGGCATGCTGCAAGGGGGTACGGAGAGGGTCAGGAAGGCAAAGACCCTTAACAGCAACTTGGCATCAAAAGGGTTGCTGTGTTGTGGTAGAGGCCCAAAGAGGGAAGACCACCAAAGCTTGGAAGTCACCACGGAAATACTCTCCACAAGGTGGCGCTCACAGCCCCATGGGCTTCTCTTCCATCTTGGAAGGCCAACTCTGAACTCAGACTCCTTGGTTCAAATACCAGCTCACTGCTTCTGAGGCAAGTTTACGTGTGCCTCAGTTTCCTCACTTGTAAAATAGGAATAGTAATAATAGTACCTTCCTGATCGGGTTTTGGGGACTATGAAATGAGCTTTGAACATTATCTGATACATAGTAAGTGCTATGAGTGTCCCTGATAATTCTTTGCTAGAAAATATGGGATTTTTTTTCACTGTGGCAGAACTGCCAATCAGGATTTCCACATCAGTGCCTCTTGACAATTTTATCACATTTCCAACAACACTGGGAAGCCCCACCTCCTCCTTCCATCTGCCACATCGTCCTTCTCCTGTCATTGTTCAAATATGCCTGAGTCTTTGTTCATGCTGTTCCTTCCACCTGGAATGCCCCTCCTTGTCCCCATCACTGCCTGTAAAGCCTGTATCCATCTGTGAGACATAGATGCTATCTCTTCTAGAAAACCTTCCTGATGCCCCAGGAAGTAGCCACCTCCCCTTTCAGAGCTCCCAGTCACACCTCCATGATAGCCTGTCATACATTGTCCCCTTCTAGACCAAGGGCTCCCCAGGGCAGGGTGATCTGTCTCCTGAGCACCTGCCACCATGCCTGATGCATAGGAAATGCTAAAAAAAAAAATCTGTTAAATGAATGAATGAATGAATGAATGAGCAAACAAAGAAACATACTGCGAGAGTTTTGGGCTTAATATGAAGTTGGTCCCTTAGACTAAAGTGGGAAGGATGGAAGCCAGGGACCATGTGAGGTCCAGGGGTGTCTCCTTCTCTCTCCCCGCCTCCCAGCAGGATGTCCTGCATTAGGGTGGGGTGGCCTATCCGCAGCAGGTGAACCCAGGGGTGTCAACTGAACACCCTACCCCACCCCCACCCAGGGAGCCAAGCAGGCATGCATCTGCCCCCAGGTGGCTACGTACCGGGGAGAGGGGGGGCACCTGGAGGCCGCACAGGAAAGAAGAGGGGGTTAGACAGGTACCAGGGAGGTCTTACCAACCCAGAAACACCATCCTCATCCCAGACCCACCCAGATTTCAGTTTCTAGATGCCATCCCTGGAAGGCTTCTTAGCACATCCATCTCCCAAGTCCTGCTTGAGGCCCTTACAGTGATCCTCAATGCCAGGCTGCCCCTCCCACCACCCCCTGGTGCCTGGGGTAGGGCTGGGAGGGTGCAGCAGTCTAGGGGTGATGGTACCCACATACTTGATGGTCAGGTGGCGACTCTTGGGCTGTGGAGGCAAGGATGAGGGAGGACCCTTGCTGAGATCTTCCACCGACTGCTCCAGCGGCTTGCTTTTCTCTGCGCCAGGGACCCCATTGTCCGTACTCTCCATGTCATACCTGCAGGGGTTCAAGTGGGGTTGAAGGCCAATGCTGCAGGGGCACTTTAGGGAGGGGCGGGGGAAACTGAGGTACCATGCTAGTCAGAGGAGGGGGCCAGGGAATGATGGGACAGACAAGTAAGCCACCCAGGTCCCAGCTGGCCATCCCAGGCCACGTCCCTCTCTATCCGTACAGGTCCTTAGAAAGGGGTATCACCCACTGTGAAGGGTGTGGTGTGTGTGAGCCCAGGGTGGATGCGGCCAGAGGAGTGGATGAAGTACAGGGAAACGTGGACCAGGGCTCTGAGGAGCAGCATGAGGGCTGGGGCAGGGGGCTTACGTGACGGAGCACTGGGCAAAGGCCAGGTACTCGAGGAGCACATCCAGGCCACGATTCTCCTCGTTGAGGAACTCCTCCACCCACCTGCAGGGCACAGGGCTCCCTGAGTTCCAGCCAGTGGGGAGGTCCTGCCCAGAGTGGGCCCAGAACAGGCACAGCCAGGGCTCCAGGGCTGCCCTTCCCCTGGCAGGACACCAGCCAGCCCCAACCTCAGAAGAGCCAGTGGCACTAGAGGATGCCAGGGGGCTCAAGCAGGATCCAGAGCCCCACTGTGCCTTGAGGTGTGAGCAGAGGGTAGGCGGAGAGGAGGCAGGGAAGCTGCACTGGACAGCCAACCCAGAAGTGGCCCACGGGCGCAGCCTATGCATGGGGGTTGGGGGGCAAGGAGGTGACAGCGGAGTAGCAAGGGGAAGCCCCAGGAACTACCTGGAGGCAGAGCTCCCCCAGGCTCCAAGATGGAAATCTGAGCCCTTGCTCACCCAATGTGGTTTGTCCTCAGGGAGATCTCCAGCTCCCGCAGCACCTGTGTGGACTCCTGAACTCGCCTCTTAAACTGGGGACCAAGAACAGGAGAGTCTGGTGGGTGAAGCCTGGGGCCTCCCACAGGCCTGCTGAGCCCTGAGGCAGCAGCCAGCAGCCCCTGCCCTCCCCCTACGACTGGCCTTTCACGCTCAGCCTCCCCCACCACCTCCACACACCTGCCTGCAGGATAAGCATTCTCAGGCTCTCCGTAGCCCCATACACACAGACTTGTGGCATACACACACATACACGCACACGCACACAGCCAGCCACAGGGCACATGCACATTCATATATGAAGACCCTGGCCATGCACACACACATATGCATCCATACACAAGCACCCTGGATACACAGATAAGACACCCATGCATTCATACGTGGACACATGAGTTACACACACACACACACACACACACACACACACACACCACACCTATACATGAACCCAAGGGCACACAACCATATGTGGACACAAAAGTACATGTATACATAGTATACATACATAGTATCCACACACGGCCACACAGTGTGCACACATGCACGCACACACACAGTACAGTACACACAAGCAGACCTGTGGAAGCACACGCAGGGATGCAGAGGTGCCTGCCCAGGGCCCTCTCAGTCCCCTGGAAACATACACACACACTCATACACAAGCCCACCAAAGAGTTTATTCACATGGTTACTCTGGCTGCCCAGAGCTTAGAAGGGGTGGCGGTGGGGCAGAGAAAAAGGGGGAGACATATACCCCCAAGTTAGACATCCAGTCCGCTGCTACCTTTCGGCTGACCCCACCCGTTTCCACGTAGCTTCTCAGCTTCTGGATGTAGGCTGCTGGAGGGTTCTTGACCTGAAACCGCTCCTGGGGAAATGGAATGGGGTGTCCAGGGAACCAGCCAGAGCTACCTCAGGCTGAAGGACCAGCCCTCGCCCCGGAATCCCTTTCTCAGCTCTGACCCCAGGTCCTAGGCTATCTTAAGACCCCTCTGAAATACCAAAGATCTAACCAAGCCACCTGCCAGGCCACTTTAAAAGACCCCAGTCCCGGACCTCTGCTCCCCACTAGGGCCTCACAAGCCACAGCCCTAGCACAGTCCTGAGAGGTAGTTTGGAGGTGTCACTTCTACCCCACACCCTGGTGGGGGGGCAAGGGGATAGAGGGTCTCAGACCTGCCAGTAGGTGGTACCTTCCCAGCTCCCCTGCCCTCCCCAGGCTGCACACCTGCCCACCCTGGATCACACACCTGCCTTCCCCGGGTCACACACCTGCCCACCCTGGGCCACACACTAGCCCCAAGCTGCACTGGTAGGTACCTGTGCATGTGTTTGCTCATCTTCTGTGCTCAACAGAGCAACCCCTAACTCCCCTGCCTCCCCCAGGACTCCGATAGCCACTCACACAGAGAAGCAGGGGCCATACCCAGAGGAGGGCCCTACCCAGAGGAGCTCCCATCCTTCCCAACCCAGATCCTTCAGCTATGCCCAGCCACCCTCCTCAACATCCCACTTCTCCCAGGCCTCTGAGCCCCCAACCTGAAATGCCAGGTCAAGTAGCAGGGATCCCTACCACAGCCCCAGAGCCTCTAGAAGCAGCTCCCTGCCCTCCCTCCATGACCCAGCCTTTACCCCCCAGACTCCTGCACAGCCGGCTCATCCCATTCTGGTCCATTAGCAGGAGCCAAAGGCCCAGCCTTGGCTCCCAGGGGAGGCTCCTTGCTCCCCAACTCCCCACCCCCAGCCTCCCTCCCTCACTGAATCACTGCAGCAGCCAGGCCCCACCCTGGCCCAGCACTGGGAGAGGGGTCTTCCTTGCTACCACGGACAGCGGCCCTAGAAGCTGCAGAGACAGGGCACCCAGTGGGCCATGAAGGTGGCAAACCCAGGTGCCTAACTAAGCACCAGGAGACAAGGATTCTGGTTCTTGCTCTGCCGCTTGGTTACTGGTTACCTTCAGGTTGTTGCTTGGTTGACAGTAGCTCCTCTGGGGCCAAGGAAAAGAAAGACAGGGACCCTGCCCCTTCCTTCACACCTCCCATGAAGTCAAAGATGCCCAACCCTGGGGTTGCCCCCTCTTCCCCAGTCCAGAGCAGGAGGGTCAACAGAGGCTGCTCCAAAAAGCTTAGCAAGGAAGGCGGTGACACGCCCCAGCTGCATTGGCCAGCACCCTGCACTAGCCCCTGCCAGCTCTTCCGAGGGCAGACCCAGCCCTGCCAGGGACTCATAAGGTCCCTGGGGAGGCCCTTGTCCAAGAGATGGAGATCCTAGAGTCTTGAAGATACCCCTAGCCCCCTCTGCAGGTGTTACACAGGCCTCTGGCAGGGTCCCCTCTCCTGCCAGCCCTAGCCTGGCCAGGGCAGGGCACCCTGATGCCAGAAGGGGCCTGGTACCTACCTGGTCACAAATGAGCTCCCACTTCTTCTCATTGTCATACTGGCTCAGCAGCTGCACTTTGTCCGGCGGCAAGTTCATGCAGTTCTGGGAGAAGGGAGGACAAGGTCAAGACTCTGAGCCTGAGTCCAGTGTGAGGGGCAAGGCATGGGCATTTTCAGAGAAGCCCAAGGGGTCAGCTCCCTAGGAGACCTGTCATACACATGACACCTGTCATGTGTCATACACATACACCTGTCACCCTCTCACCTGGGAGATAAGCATCAGCCGATGAGAAAACTGAGGCCCAAAGGTAGAGCACCTTGGCCTAGGCCCCAAAGCTAGAAAGTGACACTGGGATTTGACTCAGAGTCAGCCTGACCCCCGGGCCTGGGCTCCGTCATCCATACACCACCTCCCTGGCACATCTGCCATGATGGTAAGAGCGTGGGTTCTCAACCTAACTTCCTGGGGCCTCTGGCTCCTCTGGACTCACTTCCCCATGTGCAATGAGGGGGTATCATCTCTTCTTCCATTTGGGTGGGAAGCTAACAGGATCCACCTCCAGCCAGGCCCAAGTGCAGCCAGGCTCGGACTGGACCCCCTTCCTGCATGCCCCCAAACACCACGTGGACTGTCACTGTAGCCTAGGGCACCAGTGTCTCACAAACACCAGAAAACCTCTTGCAAGCATGGCAATGGCAATCTCCTCCTCATCCCTCCCTGGCCCCATCCCTCCTCATTACTTCTGGAAGGAGGAGACCGGGAAAAGCCAAGGGAACTTGTCAGGCAGGGAATTCCAAGCAGGTGCGTCATGGCTGCAGGGGCCAGGGGGATTCCTGGGGAAGGTCACCCAGCCACAGGAACTGGGGACAGCCACTGACATGCTAGGTCTGTGGTGCTGGTAGCCCAGGCTGGGACTCCCCTCAAGAGCTAAGAAAGGTCAGCATCGCTCTGCCTGGTCCTCCTCCCCCTCACAGGGCAGTTATAGGGTCCTGCCCAGTGCTGCTCGCACTCAGGGATCCCTGCCCCCACCCCCGAACTCGACTTGTCTTCCTGATAGACACAGTAGATGATGCCAGTCTACCCCAATTCGGCAAACCTCAGGTTAAAAGAAGATCTACTATGTGTCAGGCCCCAAAAGACAGTTCTTGCCCTCAAGGAGTTCCATCCCTGCTGGGGACATGGGAGTCCCCAGGGATCCCCAGCCCAGAGTCAAAGGGCCCCTGTCACCAGCTCTGGAGGCTCAGTCTACACGTCCTCAGTCACATGAGCCTGAAAGGAGGCCACAGCTGGAGCACAGAGGGGCCACACCCACCCAAGGCTCCTCAGCCAGCTTCCTCTCTGGGGTGCTGGGCCTAGTTCTGGGGCTCTGGCCAGAACTCACCCCAAAAAAATCACTGCCTTGGGTCAGTCCCAAACAACAGGAAGCTGGGTGCTCTCAGCCCCCATTGCCCAAGCTTTCCGGCTAGAGCCTCACTTGAGAGGTGAAACTGGCTACCCACCAGGCCCCCCAGGCCAGCTGGCAATGGGGCTATGTCATTCTTCTCCCCATTGTGAAAGCTAGCCCCTGGATTAAGGAAACCGCTGCTGTCTCCTCTGCTGCACTCCCCCAAGCTGCCAATAGCCAGCCCGGCTCGTGCCACCACAGGCCAGACTGCCCAGGCAGGGCCCTTGGAACTGGGGTAAGGCCTCCATTGGACCTGGACCGTTCTTGATCTCTGTCTCTGTCTCTGTCTCTGTCTCTCTCTCTCTCTCTCTCTCTCTCGCTGTCTCTCTGTCTCTCTCTCTCCTTGTTCTCTCCTGCTCCATCCTCATCCCACAGAGACGGGGGGGGGGGGGGGGGTGGCACGGGGTAGAGGGGGAAGGCCAGGGCAAAGGAGGAAGTGGGGAGGCAGCCAATGCCAGAGAAACTGAGCGCTGGCCAACACAGGAGAGAGGCTGTGGTGGGGAAGGAGAGTGAGGAGTGAGGGAGATGGCTGAGCCCCAGCAACTGAGCCTTCCAGGAGACAGCTGCTTCCTAATATGGGTCTTCCTGGGGCCTCACTGACCCCAGGGCCCTGTCTGGCTCCCTGAACAGCCCCAGTGGCACTTCTAGGAGCAGCAACTAATCATAATAATGATCCTCCACAGATGGGGTACCCGTCATCTCTGCCTGGACGCTCACCACACCTGGCACCACGCTGAGCCCTCCACTCGGGGGACACCTTCACTGCCCCAATCACCCCAACTGGCACCAGCAGTAGCAGTCCCATCGTACAGGTGCAAGTACAGATTAATGACCTGTCCAAGGTTACAGAGCCCGGAAGCGGGGAGCCAGACTGGCTTTGAGCCCAGCGCTGACTCTGAACCCACTCCCACGGGCCACCCCACAGTTATTACTGGGGAGAGGGCAGCCTCTGCTGTGGGGTCCATCATCCCAACAGCGGTGGAGGGAGGGCACTCCTCCGCCCCTTCCCCACCTGGGTGTGCTCAAGCCCCGGGGCTGCGCCAGCCTGCCAGACAGGCTAAATTTAGGCTCAGAAATCAGAAATAGCTCTGACAGCGCTGAGCGCTAATTAGCAGCTGTTCCTCCGCTGTGCCCACCGAGGAGCCAGGGAACCCTAAGGAGCGAGGGAGGAAGCAGAGAATGCCACTCACCCAGGGTGGAGTGACGTGCTCCCGGAAACCAGGACCCCAGGCCCAGGGTCCCCAGCAAGGGGGCGGCAGCAGGGGGACAAGCAGCAGGTGGGCTGGCGGGGCCCAAATAGGCGAGTCCAGGTGAGGGGAGGAGAAACACTTGCCTCCTGGGAGGGGACGTGGCTGGAGGAAGAAACTGCGCTGGCTTCAAGGGACCCAGCTTCTGAGCCCACCTAGCCAAATGTCTCCCAAACCCCTCAGCCTCCTCCTCCATAAAACAGGCACACTGCCCCCCCCCTGCCTTGCAGCTCTCAGAGCTCCTGGAAATACCCAGCAAGAAGCTGTGTTTTGATGTAATAATACTCTTCAGTGATGCACACTGTGAAGAGGCGTTTCACACATTGGGAGTTGGGGGGAGCCCACTGAAGACCCCAAGGTGAGGGATGAGGTGATGAGCAGAAGTGTGTAAGACATCCAGATAACATGGACCAGTCTCTGAGGCTCGGCCAAAAATGAGCTGACCTTTCAGCCCCCCATTCCCAGCTGCCCTCGATGCTCTGGGTCAGAGGAAGAGGGGAAAAGATCCATCTTTGAGGGTGTGGCCAAGAAAAGGAGCTGATTCCCCAATCTTTCTATTAGAACATGTGGGGATCATTCTCCGTCCCTGCTCCTACCTCTCCAGGCACAAGAGGAACCTCTTGCCTTGCTCCCCCAAGACCAGCCCCTTGCAAGCACAGCCTGACCCACTCTCCCCCAAGTGCTGATATCTGGAGAGGTGTCCCTGGAGGCAGAGGGGCTCCAGTCTGTATTTGGACACAGCCACACCCTCTGGTTTCACTTTCAGCTTAAGCTCAGACAATGTCCCAACCCACCTGCCCACCCTCTCCTCATGACGTCTGGTCCTTTGAGTCCCCAAATGCCCTTAAACTAGAGTTCCAAGCCCAGGCTCAGACCAGCCCTATGGGGGTTCCACAGCCTGATGAGCCTAGAAGCCAGGAGGTGTCCCCCACTTCCTCATCCATCCCTCTTCCACCCACCTTTCCATGGCCTCAACCTTTGGGGGCAGGGTGTGTGTGTGTGTATGTTTAAGATTTTATTTATTTGTTCATGAGAGACACAGAGAGAGAGACAGAGACACGGGCAGAGGGAGAAGCAAGCTCCTTGCAGGGAGCCCAATGCGGGACTGGATCCTCAGACTGGGATCACTCCCTGAGCTGAAGACAGATGCTCAACCACTGAGCCGCCAGGCATCCCTCAACCTTGGTTTTAGAGCTTTCAGTGTATCTCCAAAAACAATCAACTTTGTCCACGTTTTAAAATTCAAGTATATAGGTTTTTCTGGGGCTGCCATAGGCAATCCCAGACTTAAAGGAGGGCTCTAAGGTGACTGGCCCTGGGATTAGGAGCTAAGAACCCCCAAAAGCTCACAGCTTCTCCTCTCAGGGTGGAACGGTCCCCTTGGCAGGGACAAGGACAAGCCAGGTGGAAGCCAGGGCAGCAGGCACTGCCCATTCAATCCACAATGGTTGGGGAATTACAGCAACAATGATAGATATTCCCCAAAGGTTCACTCTGCATTAAGTGCAATTCCTAGTGCTTTTTATCTACTGACTCATTTAAACCTCAAAAAAGGGACACCTGGGTGGCTCAGAGGTTAAGCATCTGCCTTCGGCCCAAGGCATGATCCTGGAGTCCCAGGATCGAGTCCCACATCAGGCTCCCTGCATGGAGTCTGCTTCTCCCTCTGCCTGTGTCTCTGTCTCTCTCTCATGAATAAATAAATAAAATATTTAAAAATTTAAAAAAACTCAAAAAGAAGCTTACACAGTAAACACTATTGTGATCCCCATTTCACAAATGGGAAACTGAGGCACAGAGCAAATAAGTCGCTTGCCCAAGCTGACCTGGCTGGCAAGCAGGTAAGAAGACTCAGTTTCCTTGGAAGAAAGAGCACTGGAGACAGGGAGAAATGTAGGTCCTAAGCCCCCAGGGGTCTTCTGCAGACAGCCTGGCCCCAGTACCCCCGTCTGAGGAACCAGGAACAGCCAGCCCCATTTCCTGCCACCCAGCACCCTACGCTTCCTGTTGTTGCCCACACGGAGCTCTTACTCACTGGGGAACCCCCCCCCCAGTACACCATCTCTCAGAGGGAAGTGGAGGCCTCCCCACCCCCTCCCCATGTGCACACAGCTACCGTTAGCACCACTGCCCCACCCTCCAGGAGAGGTGGGCCCTCCCTCTGGTGGTTTCCGGCCAAGGCAGTTTTCGGTCTAGGCCTCACTGTTGCTGACCTGCGTGATGGCAGCGAGGGCAGCCTGGCCTGTGAGGGCTGAAGTTGGTAACCTTGGTTGGTCTCGGTAACGGAGATGGGAAGGGGGGAAAGGCACAGTCTGGAGGGCCTAGAAGGCCTCCGGTATGCAGAGGATCCTATCCACTCCAACATCATCCCCTTCCTCACAGTCAGGGAGAGTTTCTGGAGCACTTGCTCTATGTCAGGGCAAACAATCTTTCCACAATCCTAGGAGGCCAACATATGCCGGTAGCATTCTCTCTCTTCATGTGGGGAATATTGAAGTTCAGAGAGGTTAAGGAACTTGCTCAAGGTCACACAGGTAATAAGTGGCAAAGACAAAACCCAATTCCCACAACAGAATGACCCCGAAGCTACTCTGCCTTTCCCGTTAATAACCCTTGCCCCTCCCAGAGGCAGGCAGGCCTGAGCCACCTTCCAGGGCGACATGTTCCCAGGAAAAATGCAGAGGTAGCCCCCAGAGCAGCCCCACCTGCTCCTGCCCATCTCACCCAGGTCCTTGCCAACTGGCCCCAGATGTCCCTGTGAATCATGCCTACCACATCCCTGGGTTTTCAGGGTCAGCACGTGCCAGCCCTGCCTGCTAAGAATGTCAACCCACAGCTCCTGCCCAGCCCAACATCTGCCCACATGGCCACAGCCCCATTGAGATTCTCCGTGTAAGACACCCCACCCCAGAGATAAGAGGTATAGGGCCTGAGTGCCCCTACAGCTACATGTCCCCAACTTCATCTGTCTCATCCCAGAGAAGGGCACTGGCCAACAGAATGGAGTCTACCTCTGCTCTTCAGGGAAGGGGTCCAGGTGAAAGCAGGACTCCCAGGATCTGACCTCACCGTATAGCCAGCCTCACCAAATGTCTACATCCCTGGGCACATGCTGAGGGCCACCCAGGGTGCAAGGCCCATTGGCCGAACTCGTCTCCAGCTGGTTTGGCCTCCACGTGGATCAGCATCACTCTCAGCCTCGAGCACCACATCCGGGCAACTTCCCCTGGTCCTCGAGTCCCAAGGTTACAGGCTCCTCCCTGACCAGACAAATCAGAGGTGTCCTATGCTCAGTCGCTGTAAGCATGGAACTTCTGGAAGGCCAGGAAAGAGTGCCTTGTTCATCCCAAGCACCGACCCTTACAGGGAAAAGTCTACAAAGGAGACACAAGCCTTGGGCATGGCATAGGAGAGGCAAGAGCATGGAGCCTGGCGGGCTAGTTTTCCCACCATGACAGCAGGCCCATGTCGATGGGCAGCCATCACTCCTCTGCTGTTGCTAAGGCAACAGTAGGAAACCCTGGCTCAACCTGCTTTCTCCCCACCTCCATTTTAAGCAGGGGCACCTGTCTCTCTCACAGCCTCCTTGGAACGGTAGCCCCCCACCACCCACCCTTGCATGGGAGAAAGGCCACCATAGGAAAAGGGGGAGCTTTTCCTGGCTTTTCCTGGCTCCCTCTCCTACCTGGCTGTGGGCCTTGGAGGGGGTGCCCTCCACCCACAAGATGGGTCCCACAGCCAGGAGCCAAGGACTGGTTTTGGGTATCAGGATCCTATTCCCCACCAGGAACCAAAGGGCTGAGATTAAGCAAAAGGAAGAGGGGCGCCTGGGTGGCTCAGCCGGTTACACGTCTGCCTTCCACTCAGGTGATGATCTCAGGGTCCTGGGATGGAGCCCTACATCGGGCTCCCTGCTCAGCAGGGGAGTCTGCTTCTCCCTCTCTCCAGCCCCCACTCATGCTTTCTCTCGCTATCTCTGTCTCTCTGTCAAATAAATAAATAAAATCTTTTTTAAAAAGAATAGCAAAAGGAAGGGCTTCCCTGGGGCCATGTGACAACATCTGAAGGGGCTATGCTTTTCCCATCAAGAATCAGAGATTCCTGGGGGTGGGGGGGCCATCACTCTCAGCAGTCTGAGGCTCTTCTCCTCTTAGACATTCACTACAGACAGGACTCCCCTCTGGCCAGGAGGCAGTGCTGATGGAGGCATGCCCTGCGATACTGGTTGCCAGGCCTGTGGGTTTAGCCGAAGACGTAGCCCAGGCAGCTGCAGGCAGGGGCCAAAGCTGTCATGCCAGGGCGGGGCTCATGTCCCTGTCGGTGGGGAGCGAGGGGAGCAAGGTTCTTAGCCGAGCAACCTTGGATGGGGTGTGTTCTGCTCACATAGGACAAGGGACAGGCTGATCCCTTCCCAGAAAGAAGGCCAAGAGTAGAAACACACTGGGGTTTCTGTGGGCTAGGGTGGAAAGCTGAGCCCCAATGGGTGCTGCTGCCCTAGATTTCTACCTAACTCCCCCCTAAGACCCAGCTCTGACCCTCTGCCTTGCATGCCCCGGCACTCAGGGACTCCCAGTGGCAGTTAGCATCAGACTCAGCCAATCAGAGCTAAGGCCAAAACACAAGCAGGGCAATCAAGAAGTACACATGCATCAAAACCTCACCATTTGACTTTTGGATTTCCCACTGGTCTGAATTATTCACACAGCTCCTCCCCATTAGAATGTGTTTAACTGGGGCCGGTACTTCACCCTGCCAGTCTGTCACACCCCTGTCCACAGACACACAGTTGTGGGGAAAGACAGGCTCATATCCCCCACCATCAGCCTGGCCAGAGTCCAGGGATCCACCACCAACTCAGGCTCCCCAGATGGCCCCTCAGAGACCAACTTTCCTCATTCTGCCCCTCCCCCACCTGCTCAGCTCAGCTTTGCCAGGCGATGCGTTTGAGGAAGGGAAAGCAGGTGGATAGATGGGGGTAATCAGCGCCTGGCCAGGTGTGAGGTGTCCCTCAGAGTCTCTCCCTCTCCCCTAATCAAGCAAGGTGCCTTCAAAAGGATAGACCAGACCTCACCCCACCCAAAGCTCCCCCAAACCCCTCCTAGCCTTCCTTCTGGGAGGGGGCAGCCAAGATTTCTAGGAACTCTTATGAGGGGCCATGCAGAGGATCTGGCAAGTACAGTCCAATGACCGGCAAGGGAGGGGAAATGATGCCAAGGAGGTGGAGGGGACAAAGAATTGAGCACTGCCACCAGCCAGGCTTGCTCTACTGCCTGTGCCTCCCTTGGGCCTTCACCCTCAGACCTGCAGTGCCAGCCTGCTTAGACTCGGAAGTGCCCCCGGGAAAAAGCATGGCCTCATTCGCCTGTCATCCAGAGTCCAGCAAGGGAGCTGACAGCAGACAGGCCACCAGGCAATTAGAGAAGGGAGCCTGGGACAGGGCTGATGTAGGGAGAGGGAAGTGAAAATGAGTGGCCCTTCCCCCTCCCTACTTCTGCCTCCCACCGAGTCTTGGGGAGCCCTGATTTTGCTCTAGAGCCCCTCCCCAAACACATCCTGACTGCTTCCAGGCTCAGCCGCAGCTGATGGCTCTCTCCCCAGGGGCCAAGTCTCCAAGACCCCCGATTCCTCCAGCAGGTGATAGTGGGGAAGGGAGGGGGTGCTCCCAGACTTTTGCACCATACCAAGCCAGAGTGGACCAACCCATCCCGACCCTCCTAACCTTAATCCCTTCAGTGGGCTGGAGGATATGCCCCAGATAATAACCCACACACAATCTCTCCTGGACATGTAGGGGGTGAGAAACAGACACTCCCCTCCGTCCGCATGATCCGAGAACCCAACTCCCAGCAGCCCAGGCACCATCGAATTAGGAGCAAACACCTAAATGCAGTCTCCAGCTCCCAGGACATGAAAACCTTCCTTGCAACCCTTCCATCTTTGGCCCCGAGACACAAGCAGATGCTCCTGACCGCCCGGTGGGTGGGCCTGAGTGCAGTGCGGAAGGGGATGCTCCAGGACCCCTTAGCGTGCTGGGCTCCCAACTTCCTGCAGGACCTTTTCGTTGAGACCTTTAGACCCAGGAGCGCTGGGGAAGGGGGTGTCTCGGGGAGGCAGACCCGGCGACTGCAGAACAAAGTTTTGGGGGGAGAGTGCTAAGTCACTCTGAGAAGAAGCCACTGTCATTCCCACGTCCTGTAGGGGCGGCCACCGGGCCGGGGATCTCCAAGCGGTGCCGAGCCCCTGCCGCCCCCCGCCCGCGCCCCGCGCGCGCCGGGCCGCACTCACCAGAACCCGGTTGAACCTCTCCTCCAGCTCCCCGGCCGCGGGCATCGGCTGCTTGGGCGCCGCGGGCTGCTTGGGGGACGGCGCGGCGGGGCCCGCGGGCTGCTCCGCGCTGCCGGCCGCGTTGCCCATGGTGGTCCCCACCCAGTCGGCCAGGCGCCTCCAGCCTCGGAAATCCAGCTTTCCGGGGCGCGGGGGACGCGGCGCGGGGCCTGGGGGGCGAGCAGGGCAGCGGCTCGGCTCGGCGGCGCTCGGCTCGGCGGCGGGGGCGCGGGCTCGGCTCGGCGGCGCGGGCTCGGCTCAGCGGCGCGCGAGGGCCGGGGCGCGGCGTCCCATCGGGGCGGCCCCGTCCGAGGCGCGGGCGGCGAGCTGCGGGGTGGGGGAGGAAGTCAGGCTGCAGGCCGCCGGGGCCAGAGGGCTGGGCCGGGGGCAGGAAGCTGCGGCGCGGGCTCCCCCCTCGGCGATTTTCGAACTTCTGCTGTCGCTCCCCGAGCGCGCAAACCGCATTTCGCCGCCGCCGCGACGCACCCGGCCCCCGGGGGGCGGGCTGGAGGGAGGGGGCGGGCGCGGGCCGCGGGCCGGGGGTCCGCCGCAGCCATGGCGCGGCCGGGAGGGGGCCGCCGCCCCGCTTCACCTGCCGCAGGGGGGGGCGGCGGGCGCCGCTACACCTGCCGGAGCGGGCGGCGGCCGGGGCGAGGCAGAGGCGGCGGCGCGCGCGGCGGCGCCTCCGGGTCCTAGAACCGCAGGCTCCCGCTCTCCCGGAGCAGGAGATCGGCCGCGTCGGGGTGAGGCGGGGCGGGGCGGGGGTCACGGCCCCGGGGGTCCGGAGGGGCCGACCTTGGCGACGACTGCCAGCGGCTGCGAGCGCGGCTTGGGGACCCATGACCGCGCGGCGCTGGGGCGCAAGGTCTGGGTCTCCCTCTCGGATTCCCGACAGAAAAGGTGGGAACCCCCTTCCAGGCCCCCCACCCCTTGTTTCTGTCCTCCTCCTCCGCGGAGCCGAGGACCAGAGGGAACCATCTGCAAATGAGAACCCCAAAGCAGGGCGTGGGGGGGCGTCGCAAATCCAGGCCAGCGGAGACCCCCGCGACCTGTCTCCCCCACCGGACCAACTCTGTGCGCGCCTGCGGACATCCCCAGGGTGGGAGAATGGGGGCGCCTGTGGAAAAAAAGACAAGGTGCAAGAATCTGGAGACCCCCAGGGCAGTCTCAAGGAGAAGCTCGCGGTTGGGGAACAGAAGATTAAAGCCAACATCCAGGCTGAGAGAGGACCAGGCACCGCAGAGGAGGGAAAAAAAACATATCTCCTTGACGCTATCACCTCCAGGGACATAGGGTGGCCTCTCACCTTGGCGAATAATAACCTCGGAAGGCTAGCAATTACAGAGATGCTTCCAGAGGTCTTCTTTCATTCATGCCGACAATGGCCAGGGAAGGTAGGTGTTGATGTCTTCATTTAGAGATGGGAGACAGAGGCTCCCTGCGGTTAGGTGACTTGCCCAAGGGCACACAACTAATAAGAGGCAGAAACGGGCCTCCTCTGTGCTCACCTTCAAAATCCACACTGCCATGGAGCCCCTCTCCTAGCCCTCACTGCCCCTCTCATCCAGGGTAGATCAGAAAGGTGAGTGAGTACTGGGAGGGCCCTAGAACCTCAGGTCTGAGACATCCATCTCCAACCCATATTTGAGACTCTTCTCTCTCACTTGCTCCTTTCTTTCCCCATTTGATTTGTGGAGATCCCCAGTTGCCCTCCCTGCACTTCCAAGACCCTGAGGAGGGAGGGCCCACTAAATGAGCCCTGGATTTCCTCTAGGCCAGGCCAGAGGCCATAAGTGTCCCTTCCCCTTGTAGCTTCCTCTTCCTTCTACAACCCCCCCCCACCCCCCCACCCCCAGCCCCATTCAGAACCAGGAGTTAAGCAGGAGCTGGGAAATTTAGCTAATTTTAAGGAAGGCCCTGGGATGAAATAGCCCCTTCCCCCAGACTGACCTGATTTAAGTGTTTCTCCTGCCAAGGTCACCAGCACCTCTGGTGGGTGAGAGATGTGCGGTTACTTATTTCATGTACCAGCCAGGGACCCATAAGATAAGACAAAGCAGGATTTTCCTTGGGCATGCTAAGAAGGTGATCCATTCTGGGCTCCTACCTTTATCTTCAGCCAAGGATGGTCCAGTCTTGCCACTGAGTTCATGCCCTTGAGATTAACTAGGACCTCCTTTTTTTGTTTTTCCTTTTTAAAGAATTTAGTCCCCAGTCCCCACAATGCTTGTCTCTTTCCATTTAACAACAAACCTTTATGCCCAGCCCTGCACTCACTCCTGGAGAATCTATGGCAGGTGAAGAGTGCCCAGTGTTAGGCTGTTCACAGCCCAGCAAGGGACAGACTCTAAACACATCTGGGGGAGTGACTGCCATCAGTCAGATCAGTGCCAGGTGTTCATGCTTCCTCTTGCCCAGAACTACTTCTTCGAGTGGGTAGGAGAAGGGTGGGAGTGGTGCGCCACAGCTGAAAATCCGAGCAGGGTGGGGATCCTCTAATGAAGTAGTTGCCAGCCTGAGCCCTCAATCCCCGGGGATGCTCTGGCCATTGGCAACCACTGCCACCCAAGGCCTAGTGGAAACAAGGCTGGGCTAAGTAGAACCTCTTATGTGGAAAATGATGAGCTCTGCAGGCCTACATTCTGTTGCGTGCACCCTGATCAGAAAAGTGAGGCACAAAAAAGGGAGAGAACTTAATCAATTATCACCTAATAAATTTGGTTGGCTTGGCAGGAAGTTATCTTTCCAATCGTGGTCCACAGAGGAGGAAATCCTAGAAGGGTTGCTTGGTGAAGTTTGGAACCAATGCTTTGGTGGGCCTGTGCTTCCGCCTGCTGGGCACAGGAGGTATGACAGCCAAGACAAGGCGAGGCCTCCAGAGGTGATAGAGATGGAGTCACAGCGTGGGTGACATTTCTGAACATTGGTGGTCTTGTCACCTCCGATGGAGGAATTGTGCAGTCACTGGGGACACTCGGAGCTCGGGTGATGGAGGTCTCCCCAGGAATCTCCCTCCTCCTGCCTGCTGCCCCATTACTCAGGGGGTGCCTCTTAAAAAAAATTGTTTAAGGTAATACATACATGTGCACAGTTTAAAAGAAAGACTGTTTTAATGCATCTTTCCAGAGATGTTTTGGGCTGTGTGTGTGTGTGTGTGTGTGTGTGTTTGACACAAATGATGGCACATACTCCACAACTTAGCAACTTGTTATCTTCACTTAATAATATATTTGCCTCTACAAAATCTACATAGTCCTCCATCATCTGAATGTGTCACAATCTATTTCACTATTCCCCTCCTAGTGGGTATTTAGGTTGTATCGGTCTTTTGTTGCAACAAACAATGGTGCCTTCAGGAAATATCTCAGTACATATATTTGTCTGTACTTATGTGTGTGTCCATAAGACAAATTTGTAAATATAACAGTGCTGAGTCAAAGGTTTTGGGGGGTAGATATTTGGGAAATTGGATAGATTTGGAATTGCCCTCAAAAAAGTTTGCACTAATTTGCAATCCCCCAAGAATGGATGCCTGTTTTCCCACATCTTCACTCTATTATATTATAGCTATTATAAGGCCTTTTTTTAAAAAAAAAAAAGATTTTATTTATTTATTTATTTATTTATTTATTTATTTATTTATTTATTTATTTATGAGAGGCAGAGGCATAGGCAAAGGGGGAAGCAGGCTCCATGCAGGAAGCCTGATGCAGGAATCGATGCCAGTACTCTGGGATCACGCCCTGAGTCAAAGGCAGACGTTGAGCCCAGGCATCCCTATTATAAGGCCTTTTGATGTTTATTGAGGCCTATTTGAAAGTCTTTGTCACAAGGCAGGTAACAATCTCTTTCTCCAAGAAAGAAACTGTCTTTTCTGCCCCCATATCAGCACTGTAGGACTTAAATCGGGAATGAAAGGAAACAGCATTGCATTTTGCTAGAGATGGGGAGGTGGGGAGTGGAGAGTTAGAGCTAAGCAGGAAACGTGTCCTTAGGGCCACTCTCCTTTCCAGGCCCTGGTCAAGCCCCTGCCCCAAACTTAATAGCCCTCCTCTTGCAGGAGCCTCCCAGATTTTGAGATCTAAGGTTGAAAGCCTAGCATGCCCAGAACTAGCTCCCACTCAGCTCTCCTGCATCCCAGGGATGAGCAGCATCATCACTGAACTGCCTCAAGATTGGAAATCAGGGGGATCCCTGGGTGGCGCAGTGGTTTGGCGCCTGCCTTTGGCCCAGGGCGCGATCCTGGAGACCCGGGATCGAGTCCCACGTCAGGCTCCCGGTGCATGGAGCCTGCTTCTCCCTCTGCCTGTGTCTCTGCCTCTCTCTCTCTCTCTCTCTCTGTGACTGTCATAAATAAATAAATAAATAAATAAATAAATAAATAAATAAATAATTAAAAAAAAAAAAGATTGGAAATCAGCCAAGTGGTCATGGGGAATCAGTGAAACCAGCAATCCAATTGAACTTTCTGCAATGATGGAAATGTTCCATTCTATCAATCCTGTCCAACATGATAGCCACTGGCCACAAATAGCTATACTGAGCTCTTGAAATGTGGCCAGTGCCACTGAGGAAGAGAATTTCAAATTTGATTTGATTATAACTAAGTTCAATGTAAATAGCCACATGTGGCTACTCTACTGAACAATGAAGTGTTAAATAAGCTCTGGTACATCTCAACAATGAAAAGATACGCAGATGTGAAAAAAAAATGAACCTGTCAGATATTAATAGGGAAAGATCTCCAGGATTTATTTTGAAGCAAAAATACAGTGCAAAGCAGTATATATGTTATCTTTTGTGTGAGAAAAGGAGGTGGAAATAAGAATAAATGTATTATTAGCTCAAATTTATGTCAGCAAAGGAACAAAAGTAGTAACTTATAAGGTGCAGGGAAACAGGGTGAACAAGGCAGAGGAGGGGAGCAACAATTCTCAATGCATCTTTCTAAACTGTCTTGATTTTTTAACCATATGCATTTATTACCTATTTAAAAAGAGCAAAAAGGGGCAGCCCAGGTGGCTCAGCAGTTTAGCACCTGCCTTTGGCCCAGGGCTTGATCCTGGAGACCCAGCATCAAGTCCCACGTCAGGCTTCTGCATGGAGCCTGCTTCTCCCTCTGCCTGTGTCTCTGCCTCTCTCTCTCTCTCTCCCTCTCTCTCTCTGCTTCTCATGAATAAATAAAATCTTAAAAAAAAAAAAAAGAGCAAAGGGGCAGC